TTACATTAATCGGTACCAATGTGTCATGTTGATTACAAAGTAGACAGTAAACCTGGTTTTCGGTAGCCACTAATTAACTTAGTAGGCAGCGTCAAAGTGTCCTTTCGACAACGACAGTTGTCCCAACACTGAGATTTCGCTTTACGCGTTCTCTTCTTAGTATAGTGTATTTGAAACTCAGCATTCTCAAAAGCTTGGCCGAATTATAAATCCGAAGTATTACGTTCCATGTTTAATTAATCTGAGATTCGTTTTTTTTTCACAGCTCGAACAATAATACGATAATAAGGGATTGCCAAATGACCTAATTGAAACTCCTAATTAAAGAGTTTCTTAATTAAATTAATTAAGTTCTCAAGCGTAGACGTGCTCCGCAGGGTTATTTTTTCCTTACAAACAAAGCTCTTGAAATATATAGCTGGCAATTTTGAAGATGATCATCAACATGCCTTCTTTCCAAATCATGAAAAATACGACATCCTGTTCTTTTGGGGCATTTTTCTGTGAAAAGTATATTACACTGTTGATTCGACTATTAGGTAATGATAGCGTTTAGGTGCGTGAGACATACTTCCAAGCCTAGCAGATAGATTTTCTGTGACAGGTCTTTAATGAAGCTTGCTTATCTCGGCGAGAAAACAAAAGTTTACCTTTTGTTTACCTACTTCTATTGTTACGCATGCCTATTCTAGAAGTAAACCCGTTCAACTGACCTATGCGTATTGTTCACCAGGCCCGGAAGGTATCGACAGCTGAGACTAGTGGTGATAATCTGATGCAAATATATTTTTAACGATATCAATTGCAGATCACTCAGAAACAACTCGCGAATAGATACAAAGTGCCCCAATTCGACATTGGGATGCCCAGGTATGGTGTTTTCTCATTCATCTATCTAAATAAACAGCGCTCGTTTGTCAACGCTCTGTAGGTGTTATGGGTAATCATATATCGTTGATGTAATATACCGAATAGTAAGAACAGAAACACGCGTATTACTCTGCAGAGCTTATCAAATGTGTACCCGTCCAAAATGATGGTGACAGAGAGCAAGTCAAGAAATTTGTTGTTGCAAGTCATGCTCATGTAGCATAACCCTGCAGCCCCAAGCAACAACGTACCAACGTGCGCGCGTTATACACGGCGAAAAATGTGAGCCTAACAATTATTTTTTGATAGGTTGCGGGCCGAATTTGTGAGAGTTGCGCATTTTCAGGATGTCAGGATGCTATATAGTTAGTTATTACAGTATCGTCATAGACAATCGCCTTATTAATAACAAGTTTATGGAACTATATGTGAGCATGGACACATAACTTATACATATATATCTTCATGATTATAGCACAAGTTATTTTTTCACAAATTATCGTTTGTCATCATTGGCAGTCGTTGATACCTTTGAAATCACGCACATGGACAGACATCAATAAAACCTTTCGGTAACTGTATGATTTAGGTTAATGCAAAGTAAGATTGATCTAAAAAAGTGTATCGCATGTGAGACAAGTTTATTGTTTTCTACACGTAGCACTTCAATCACGAGATCTACTCATGTACTCTAGACTTCAAGTTTCGGTCTCTTTCTTACCCGTAGCTTTAATGAATTAGTTTCGTATGCCGTCGAAAGAACGCAAATTATCGGCGATGGATGACCATCTTGAATCATCACTGTAGAACGTACAGGAGGCAGGAGCGGTTTGCTATTAGAAAAGCGTAAGCTTGCATTTGAGGAAGGAAACTATCTCCAGAAGTGGATATCTGTGTCTTTCTTAGCCGCAATCGTGCATATACTCCTAGCGCCTGTACACACGCACAACATTCTACTTACGTGTCCCAGTCGCTGACTCGTACGAAAAAAATACGAAGGGAAAAGCTAGTCCAGCTAGCTTTCCTTTTCATATTGTTTTTGACCCATTTTTTCGAATAATTAAAACAAGTGAGTACCGCCGAGTCAATACACACATAGCACAGGTGAATATTGTTACCAGGCGGTTGACTAGCTTTGTGAAAGTAATTTAGTTATTAGCTGCATAGAAAATGTTGTGAGATCCAAATTCAGATTACATGAAGAGAAACATCCCCTTTAACAAAATGAAGGCCTGTTTGAAAAATACTTGGATAAGCACATACCATTTGGGTGTCCCGCATAAGATAAGATACACCGAAATTACACATTTTCAGTGTATCGTAGTGTTCATTGACTTAAAGGTAATTTTCTACTAGGCGCGCAGAAACGAGCCTATGGTCACGCCGATAACTACCAATGACAAGACGAACTCCCGCCCTTCACACAAACAACCGACCTCTTTCATGGTAAAAAATCAAGGCCCACTTATATTATCTTGCCCTAATGAGATAGAGGGCTAAAAAATTAGTTGAACTCTTTCTGTCTTTAAATCGCTTCGCGATATACGAATCGAATAAGCGCTGCCTCCACGCAACAGTTAGGAAGCTAGGACTGACGCTGAAACTGGTTTCCGTACTTTTTTTGATCCGCAGCTAATTCTTAATTCCTTATGTATTGAATCACTCTGGACCTAAAGCGTGAAGTTTCACTTACGAGGATAATCCGTGACGACGGCATAACTGGGCTCTCTTCAGGCCGCTGTCGAAACCCGCAAAGAGTAGTTGCACATAGCAGAGTGTCAGCCCCGATGTAAAATACTAAATTTCATGTTTCTCCTCGTCGGCTCTCGCTTCAGTCATATGGACCCACAATACATGTGCCCTTCATTTTGCCCAGCGGTGAAGGCCTGCGCCACTCCCACGCAGGTGCTATTTCATGCGTTGGAGTCGGAAATCTCGGCACACGGCTGCGGTCGTTGCTACTACTGTATTAAGTGGAATAAGAAACCAAAAACTCGTTTATACGAAGAATTATGTTCATCCTCAGCATAACCGGCGTTTGCTGATGCAGCAGTTAGAGTACGCTGCCCATTGAATCATGCTTCTAAGTTCCCATATTTGAAATTGGTCATCTCTATTAGCACCAGAAGTTTCACTTTTTCGAAAATACGGGAAGGCAGCTTTGGCTGCATGGGCAATCGGATCGCTTCGTCATTTGTCCCTCGCAACCGCTCTGGCATCTCTGATGTAGAGATAGCTTCAATCGCATTGCATAAAATAGTAATTTGAAAGATATCATAATAGAGTACTGCGAACAATTGCATCGTATTAGAACTTTTTACCTTGCGCATCTTATAGCCGATTCAGCGTCGCTGTCCGAGAGTCTGCGCTGCTGCTTTGAGCTCCCAGCAACATTCACTTCAATCTTGTGACATTGCATTGATAACCAGTATATTTGAAGCGTTAAATCATTATAAGCAAAGGTGAAACAAATTGATTTGAGCTTTTTAATATGTCACGAGGTCACTACACGGCTAAGTATTTACCAAACTCATTTCAGGTATAACCTTCGATGGGGTTATTTGATTTATGGCTCGCCATATCTTCGCTGTAACAATGCAAGTGGTAGGAGAGTTACTTCAAATGGACAAAATGGTAAGCTAACTAAGTAAAAGTAGGTAAAAAAAATGTCCCTATCAATTAATTCTATTACTACTACTAGTGGTAAATATGTAAAACTCATTAGGCTTGTGCTCCGCAAGAGTTCGCAAAAGTGTATTCATATTAAAAAAAAACACCTGAAGAACTTATATTAAAAAAAATATATTGAAGCATTATGTCAAGCGAGTGCTCGGAATCAGTCATTTTTTTCTGTTCTCTTTTTAGGCGACTACCCACATTGTACCTTTCCGTATGGTTTGGTGAATACGCCACCCTTCACGAGGCATCCCTATCATCTATGGGGTGACGGATGGGGCACTGATGCCCTCGAACGAGAAAATCCGCTTAACAAAGCTGAAAACTACGTCAAGAGAACGTAATTTCTCTATGCCATTTTATAATATAGTTCATTTTTCAGTTACAACTATCACTAATACCTGTTTTACTGACAGTTCAACATCGTAAATAAGAAATCGAACCATGCGTTTTACCCTACTCCCTTATACCATTTCTCCTTTGCATTATTTCCCATTAAATAATGTATGAAAACCTATACAATCGTACAATATCATTTGAAGCGTTACGAGAGATACCGATCTATATACCTATATACGTTTCAGGGCAAATCGACACGCTTTTGGATAAACCTTTCCATCGATACTGTAAAAATTTGTAAATATTTAACACATTCCGCATGATGGCATCACTATTCATTCTCAGAAAAAGTGCTGCCACCGCATGATCGTGGCATTATCATTTGTATTTTTTTTTGTAAAAATAAAAGAGTAGCGTGTGTAGTTTTTCTGCCAAAAATCGATTGCCTCTTTTACGGTTAATTATCAGTGATAGTTAACGTGTGTAGTTAAGCTAGATTTAGCTGTAGACGTTCGCCTGTAAATGCAGGAGTGAGTGACGACTGTGTGAAATTGTATCTATTTAATTTGAAAAAGTCCTTTTCTTGAATAGTTAATTTAAAAAAAAATATAAATTATTATTTTACTGATGTACGGGTTATTTGAGGCGGACCTATTTATTAATCATCTCATATGTTTATAAATGCTAATTCATCTATTATAAAAACGATTGCAATTTTTCTGAAATTATTTTTCATAAACATTTGTAGTATATTAAAAAAGTAATAATTATCTTATGTAATAAAGGAAATAAACTCGGGAATATTCACATAGTTTTTAATAATTAATAAAATAAAGATAAAATTTAAAAAAAAAATAAAATAAAGGCTTCGGCAACTTAACCTGTGAGCCATATGTTTAATAATTTTTTTTTTTGGTAGAACTGACCGATCGATAATACAGAGCACTTTCCAGATGAAAAATTACAGCCGACATCGTTATTGACATCGAAAATACTACCAAGCAAGACCTCGATTTGGCTGAGCAGTTTATTAGAGATTTGCATTTCTACACCAACCGGTGCAAATGTTAGCCCAGAATTGTTAATCTTGATCTGCGCAAATGGTCGCTCTTGATTAGTTACTTAGTAGGGAACTGCTATTCTTAAAGCACTCCTATTGTATGGAAAAGATTTTTGCTAAATTACAATTGATATAAACCCTGTTTCAACCGTTTGTCAAGAATGATCAAATAATTTCCCTTGAGCTTGGGACGCATGCTACAAGGAATCCAAGATTCTCAAAATGATGTGCTCCCGAATACGATGTAAAGTATTCAATACACAAAATTAATTGGGTTTACGTAATTTTCTGTATGTTGTTACAAGGTGCCGCTTCGAATCGAGACAAATTACATAAGTAAAGCTCCCTTGTATAAATATCATATAAAAATCTATAACACCGAACATCTTTGTCAAACGTACCAAAGCCATTCTATCCAATCGTCTTCCATAAATGAAGCTTTTTTCTGAAAATAATTAAAAAAAAAAAAACAAATAGAAAAAGAACAATATTATCAGAAAGCTTTATCGTCCACGCGTCTGCCATATTGTTTTCTTGTCCAAATTTATAGCGAGTTACAGAAAAGAGGTCCCCTAGTATAAATAATTATTGCAGTAGCCTTTAATAATTGAGCCAGCAAGGTTCATATGCTCTCATTTCAGGGGTTCAGAGCTCTTTTTTTTAACAAAACGTTGTTATTTGTCGGTATGATAAATAACATACAAGTTGTTGACTAATGATCTGGGAGTGTTTTGGACTATTAAGATTTTCGGTTAATTATTTGATTACTTCCTCGCTGTTTTTGAGGCCATCCTGGGCATTAAAATGGGAATAAGTATATTTCTCCTTAATTCAGAAGCATGGAACGAATGCGTAAGTAAGTTTTCCGGGTATATTAGTGTAGTTCATCCATACTCAACGGTGTAACCTCACATACAAAGGTTGACACGATATAGAGTTTTTCATAAGGACAATTTTCTCATGGAAAATAATTCCGAAAAAACTCGATAAGATTAGGTTGTTTCTCGCATTATTACCACTTGACTCAGCGGAAATGACAGCCTTCCTACAGTAATATTAATCGACATTTTAATCTGCACTTGTTTTTAAATACGCTCCAACTTTCGACAATAACAATTGCTCATAATCGATAATAAGTATTTTGAAAATAACTATTACACATACCCTCAGGTTTGTGATCGCTTGTCTTCTTAGGTAGTTAGGCGTCAGCAGAACGCGGACGTATCGCCATACACACGATTCATCGTATGTTGTGTCACTCCAGAAAGCCGGTTTATATTGGCGGTGGTGGCTTCACGTTGCCATCAGTGTGCCTCCGCGTACAAATTCCGCTCGAGGAAAGCGACTAAAATCGTGTTGTTATAGCGAGGATTATTGAAAGTTCACAGTTCTCATTACGTAAGTCGCAAACAATTTGTGCCGACGTACGATCATGCATGTCGGCACGTAAGCAAGGGTCATCGGGGTGGTGCCTATAAAAAATATGGTAAGGGTAGTTCTTTATTTATACAGCTTCCACAGGACGTACCTAGAAGAGGTGTAAGCCCATAAACTGGCATTATTTCAGCAAAATGTGTAAACAATTATGGTAAAGTATCGCGTATGTGACATGCTCGACTAAAACAACCCAAATGTAGCAGTAATTAACTCTATTTAATCCGTTCCGATCGTAATCGTGTCCTCGACTTTTTCCACGGTGACGTTCGCCAATTTGAAATTCGGTAGTAAAAAAAATTGAAAATCAAAGATACCGGTCCAGTTGGTGATCTATAGTCAACAACATACATTTGGTCACTGTAGACTTCAAATGATAGAGCTACGAAGGAAACCTGTATGACCGGCTAGACATTTTTGGGTAGGGCTTGTACAAGTTGTAGTCGTCTTTAGCTATGCTGCACTTCACGAGAAGAACGGCTGTATACAATAAACGTCAGCCCATCGCCGCCTAGTTAGCTAGGGTACACCCAATCAATTGCACGATATAGCAAAACCTAGATGAAAAACCCTTGTAAGCGTATGTGTACTTTTGACGTGAGAACTTCCGCCTCAAGTGACTTCGCGCGCCAGCATGTAGCGCCTTTGGTCAAATGAAACGCCCTGACAGACCTGGTGAAGTCAATCTGATATTTATGACTGAGCGTAGACACTAGCGACATTTTAACGGGCTGCTGTGCACACTCATCACTTCGTATATTGCCGTTGACCCTACTTGGTTAGTGTACTGCGGTTCAAAATGTACCTGGCTGAATTACTTGGATGATATGTGGGGGCATCCAATTAAGCTCACCCAATCCAACCGCAACCTAGTTTTTCACCTTTGTTTTCCAGAAGTGGGAGTTTTTGTTAAGAACGATGGCACGAACGATGCAGATGTTTGTTTTCGATGTTTGAAACCTAGAAACGGGCTGAGATAAGACGAGCTTGCGTGCGGTTAAAGCTTTCGTAGCTGACAACTCCTTAAAAGGGATGCGATACGAGCTTGAGCACTATTTACCCACGGTTCGATGCTCTAAGATCTTCAAGCTTCTGCAGCTTGGGCATCATCGGCCCACAAGGCTTTACTAGTCAATGTAATAAGTCCTTCATTGCATGTGATCATCACATTTGTCATGATGTTATTATTAGTAGAATATTGGAGACGTGGTGCTCTAAGTGCTTGGCTGTAAATGTTTATCTTGGGTCATTGGAAATTGAAAATTCAAAGCCTGGCACTTACCTTTAACGTGGACTATATCACATGGAAGTTCTTACATAAAAACTACTATTTATAACTGAATCTTTCAAATAGCTATACGTATACGTATTGAATAAAATACATGTATCTATTTATTTTGCTTGTTTAGTGATAGTTTATTTATTATTATTATTACTGGATTCATCATTATATTGTGGTTTATTATCTTTTTATGTCTTGCTTTCGGTATAGATACTGTTATATGTTGATATTATTATTACTGTAGATATTGTCGTTTTTATTGATATCCTTGTCGTTATAATAATCTATACTAGATTGTTATAGCTATTAAAATCTGCACCAAGTCCATGATCGTTTTTGTTGCTATTGTCTTTTAAGGAATATTTTTTTGTTCATTTTCATTCAGAATCTGCTAAATCTGTTTCTATTTTTGATTTAGTTCCGTCATACCATCATGATAATCTTTTTAGTTATTTTCACTAAGTAGTTTATTGTCTTTCTTAAACCTACTCTACGATTATTGTATACATAGGTTTGTCGTTATTATTGGTGGCTATTGTTATTGTGTATTCTCACCAGTACGGGTCCTTCCGCGAACAACGTCTGCACTGCGGATATTTTCATAGTGTTTTTTGTCTTTTTTCCTGTGTTTCAACTGCTTCATCTTGCAATTGTTCAAAATGTTCAAGGCCTCTCATCCGCCTTTGGTTTAGGTATTTCCGATACTGCAAGTCCATTCGACAACAGTAAGCCATACATTTATGAATCAAGTCTGAGAACTCACGTACCCCACCACGGAAAATAGAAAGACTACAATATAGTGTAGTAGTTGTATTTTGGAAGAAAAATTATAATCATATAAGAGTATCAAATAAGTGTACACGACGCAAGTTTTTGAGCGTACTGCACTACTTAACTAATCTTATATATATATATATATATATATATATATATATATATATATAGCTAGCAGCCATGCTCGTATAATGAATTCCTGTTTGAACTGGCAACTCAGTCGACCTGTGGCAACCATCACGAACTTATCACATGGATACATTTTATTTTATCTAGTCTTCTCTATTTTCGTCTCCCTTCTTGGCCGCTCTATATCGAGTTTTTGTTGCTGTTGTTATTACACACACTGTTAAAACACATAACAAAATACCTAACAGGTGTGAGAATCCGCTGAAAACGAACAGCGTAATTGCCCGTTCCTTTCTGTTCAAACGTCGCCCCAAACTTCATTGATCATTCTACCGTTCAAGGACAAGTCATCATATGATTTTCGGCTAATCAATGCCGGCAGATCCTTCGTCAAATCGATAGCAACTCATGTTCAAGCTATGGCTTACCCCCGTACCCCACAATAGGTTTGTACGCAGATCTTCGGTCACATCCACCCCGCGGAATTCGGTAAACATTTTTAATGTTTAAGCAAGTGGCATGAACCAAGCGCGCGCATTTCAAAAGTATGGAACAGTTACTGAGGACGAAGAAACTATCTAAGAACGCTATGTTTTCTGAATTACACCACCCCTAAAAGTCCTTAGAATTTCTAGATCCTGAAACAAAAAAAGTCAAACTTATTAGACACTAACCTGTTTACTGCAGTGAGCTTTACGTATTTGATTTGCTGATTCGCGGAAGTGTCTTTTAGTATCGAGTTAATCAGCCTATATATGTTTGTAATATATGTTTGCTATCATGGTAGAGTTCCTTGGGTAGGCTGTGACTTCCGCGCGATTCATTAGATTATAACACGAGCATGAAGTACACGCGTATCTATCGTAGAGCTTATACGCGCTGGTAAACAGAACGTCTTTGTGACCCTCTTGATGATTTACTTGGTTGAAATGTTTCTAATTCGAAAAAAAAAATTACGTAAAGCTAATTGCGATTATTGTTATAATCCATTCAATAGTATAGCACAGAGTAGGATCAAGCACTTTTACCAGCCCCAAGGAGCTTTTTGTCAAGCGAAATCATCTTCTCAAACACAAGGCATTTCATCAAAGTGGTACTCATTGTAATACATTCGTGACTTGTACACACTATATATATATATATATATATATATATATATATATATATATATAGATATATATATAGATGTATATCATGTATAGGTGTAGAGATTAATTAAATTTCAAATTTTTAGTTAGTCGTATATATTATTATACGAACATGTAGGAATTCGATTCAATTTGTCTTATTTTTTTTTTTGTGTAGAGAATCGATTACGTCCCGTTCGTTCGACAGACGCTATATTCTACTCTCCCAGTTTTTTTTTGTTTTTTTTTACTATTTTGTCTCGCTTCATAATCCGTCATCTGAAGGCGCTTCTCAATATCGATTTCCTTTAGAAAGTACCTTAGCTCACTCGGCTAATATTTGATACACAAATTGTAATCGTACTATAATTTAGACTAGATCCGAGCATTTTTGCGACAGACGTTAGCTGACTGTGCAGGGGCTGCTATAGTGGTGAAAATTACAGCAATTTTATTATTCCAAACAGTTTCAAGAGGGAGTTTATGATTTGTGTACATTCTATCGCGCCTCATCATTTAGCAGTTGGCTTTTCCATCCATATAAACTGCAGACCTACATAGTTCTGTACTCAGTGCAGCAGTGACAAGATGTCCGCCTGGGTGCGTTGCCGGACTAATAATGACGACAAAGGTTCAAGTTTTTAAGTGTTCAGTGAGTAAACGCGCAGAGTACATAATGCGGCGAGCGAATATCCAAAGATAAAATCGAATGGTAGCGTGCCATCGTCAATGAGTGAATTCGTTTACAAAGCATAGAAAAATAGGACCCATTCTAGGACAAGTATTTTATGTCTTTCACATACTAAACAGACGAATTTAGGTCGAGGAAATGGTTTGTTGACCCTGATAACCTCTTATATCCTCACGCCTGATACATAACCTATTGTATAACAAGAATGACGACATTTCATCATGCTTGGGCCTCACTGTACAACCGCTGACATGATCGCAAGGGAAAATAATTATGAACGTAAAATATATATATATATATATTGTTAAATACAATTCTCTTTCTCTATTACGACGTAGATCTTTCTGTATCGGAGAATTATCCTTCTTTGATATCACTAAAGGTAAACTTACCATAATATAGTAATATAAATAAATAAATAATAATAGTGGATAGACCATAGCATAACAATGTAAACACGTAACATTGCCCAATAATGTATGTAAGTTACACTATATGTAACGAGTACAAATAGTAGCGATCATACTCACATATACACATAGTGTAAAAATTATAATAGATAAATAATCATTCAGTATCGATAAGTTCTTATTAAATTACGTCTTACATAGCGGATTATAAAGCATTACTAATTCCAGTTGTTTTTGCTTCCTACTTCATCTTGGGCCGAATATCGCAATGAATAAGTCGTATCATAATGTTGATGGGATCAAAAATCATTCATTCAAGTTCAGACAGTCGTTTGTTGTGATTCTTGACAGGAACTTGACGATTAGGTGTGTCAGTATACTGTCATATATGTATGTAACGTAGTTTACTTAGTAAGTATACATTTTACTTCTACAGTTTAAACATGCAACCAAATAGTAAAGGCGCAATCGATTGTACGCACGTACGAACGTATCTTACGGATGCATTGCATGAAATCTAGGAGGACAGCAGTGGAGAGCGGCAAGGTGAAGCTAGGCTCGTAAAGTTACCTGAAGACCTTTTTAGAGGGATCCATCATCCAATCAGTAGCATTATTGTGCAAGCATATGAATCTGTCAGTGTTTGAGTATGTTTCGTTCACCATTGTTGTTCCTGATGTATCATATGTGTCCATATAGTGTATAGTTAGTTCGATAATATGGGTGTTTTTTGCACACCTCTAAGTCGCTGTTGTTTTGGCCTTCCCGCTGCTGCTGCTGCTGCTGTTGATGATGATTCTGCTGTACTTATCGCCGTCGGGAGTCGTTTCTCGGGAAACTTCGTGAGGTTAGAAAGCATTGCTGTGGTGAAGCGTTGCTGAGTGATCGATACATTGGTCAATCAATGCGTCTGCTCGATGACCAATTTTCTCTACTTCCTATCACCTTTTTGGAATAGGTCAGAGTGCCAGCTGCTTAAGTAGCATTGCTGCAATCGTACTGTTGTTGCCGTGGCCGCAGTTGTTCTTGTTCGAAGCACTTGTGTTGATAGTGGAATGATTTATGTTACGACTGTCAATATAGCTAGCATCATAGTAATAGTATTTAGTTCCTGTATTAAGCACACAATTCGTGGTAACCGAGAAACGGGTTTAAACAAAAATGTCGTATGTATTTTTTTAGGGAAAGCGTACACGGGACTTTGGTACACGAACTTTTTATCGGCCGCCGAAGATGTCCTCCATTAGTTTAATGCATGAATAGAGAAATCAGTTTAATTAATTTATTCAAATCATAGATTCACTGCTGTCGCAATCCTCTATTGTATTTTGCTTCTTACATATCGCCAAAGACTCCGGCAAACGTCTTACGTAGGTTGCCCATGGTGTCTTCAGGATCGTCAACTCCGGCTTTATCGCTCTGGCTTTCCCTGAAACAAAAAAAAAAGACACGAAGTACGCCGAGCGTGTACGACGACAATGAAAACACTGAGATCTTTCAGAACGTTTCAATAATAAGTTGGTGAAATTGTCCGAACTTTTTTGAGTCCTGTTTCGTATTACACAACAGTACAGATATCCTTTGTCTATACTGTATTTACAATGCTTAATTGACAATTCGAATCGAAATTTCTAACGTTTGTTATCAGCACTTTTTTATCAAATATTAGATTTTTTTTTAAATAGAAGAAGTAGAATTTTTTTACAACAACATTTTCTCACTAATGGACCTATTGGTTTTTTTTGGGGGGTGTCCGATGATGGCAGCTACAAAATAGTACCTGTAAAATGTTTTCCGTCTACTAATCAAACGTATTAAATTAGAATTTGATAGGGGCATATCGCGAGCCAACGATAACGAAAAAACTTACCTTCGGAATAACGACGCGGCGCCTCTTGAGAGGGCTGATGCAGCTGCGGAAGCCGCGGCAGACGCCTGTTCTGCGGCTCCGGCGGCCGTGTTGAACGGGTTCGTGTCCGATGTAGCCGTTCCGGGTGCCGCTGTTCCGGTCACCGTCTACCGCGAAGAATGGACCAGACATCGGGGTAGCGAATGAAGTTTGACAGAACAAGTTGAGCCAGGTAGTATTTTTGAGAAGTAGGTAAGATAGCGTTAGTGAGTGAAGTATTGGTACCACTTCAGACCAAGCACGATTAAGTTCTAGCCTAAGTATTTTAGTAGGCGATACTTCAAATAAAGGCAATTGCCATCAGCAAGCTGATTACCTCATGAATATGGCACAGTAGCAGTGAGCCAGCTCAATGTGCATTCAAGCCATCTATACACAATCGAAGATGATGATGTCTAGACGAGGGGCTGTGTATTGACACTGGACTGAAAACGACTACGTACAGCATGCGGCTCATAATTAATACTGTAATCATCATTGACAGTAGATTGGCATTAAAAATAAGCATGTGTCGTGCATTATAATCCGCGCATGAAGTCTAATTCATTCCGTTAATCGTTCTTCAATTTACATTTCACATATATGCGAATTACTGTTACTAGCGCTAATGTAAAGCACACTTATTATGTGGTAACCATACCAATACATGCAGCAGGGTGAACAACGATCAGCGTCAAACAGACCACAAAGTTATCGATGGTTCTACTGATGAACGCCGGTTTCTAAAGCGACAAGCGGTCTTGGCAAGATTCAGCGTCCTGGATAGTTCAGGTTTGTGAAACGAAGATGCTTGTGGATCTAACACGTACTTGTAAGCTTCTAAAGGATTGCTTTTCCAGGTTCCGACTGGCTAATCAAGCGACATGCCTATATCGTATTCAGTATATCTCACACTTCAGCTCTACCAAATGACGCAGAATTTCGAACCGTACGTTGATGACACCACCTAACTGCAGCTCAATACCAGCAGCAGCGCAGTCAGGTATCTGACCCAAATTTGCGAAACTTATGGATTGTTGTTCGCAAAATGCGCGACCATGAATTTTTATATACGGAAATCTGGCAGTGTGAAAATTCTCCCACAATACCTCCATAATAAATTAGTACATGAAAATTAAAACTTCGTTTCGAAAAGCAGTGAACGTTTTTCAATACCCAGTGGTCATTAGTTGCAGTCTACGTGGTGTCAGTTAGCCGTACGACGGACGTCGGGCGATTTCCGATAGTAGACGCCACCGGGTACACAAAGCCCAAACCGCACTTGCACAATATCATCAAGTTTCTCCAAAACAACATCCCGTTTAAAAGGGCCGCTGCAAAAACTTCGACGGAACGAAGAAAGTCGAGCCCTGAACGTACTCTCTACAAAAACTACTAACCCCAGGTGCAGCCGGCACGGGGGGTGGTGGCTGTTGCTGAGTGGCACTGGTTGTAGCTGATGACGGCTGGACCGAGGATCCGGCAGCCTGAAGGGCAGCGGCTGAAGGCGGGGGCGGTGTCGGAGGTGGGGGGCCAGTAGTTGTCGACGAACCCCGACGGAGACCCGGTGGCGCTGGACGAGGCGGAAGGGTTCCCGCCTGAATATTTTTAGGGCATAGAGGTGCACACAGATAGAGTAGATTCACCCCGAACGCATCCATATACAAGAGGCATCCGCAATCGAGAAGAAATGTGTGAGCCGATGCAAAGTGCGAGAGCAGTTGTTAAAAAGATTTAGAGAGATTTGACGTGTCATAGACTTGGCATGGGCTGCATTATTAACAGAAACTAATGCATTTATGTATCAGTGATGCACTGATTCGTCAGTACCGACATTTATGCTTGCTTCTGGTTGTTCTAGCGCAGATTGCGTCAATGAGTCATTTCTGGACACTATAATAAAGCTAATTAGTTATATATATATATATATATATATATATAAGTATTGATATTGATGAAGTATTAGATATTGATGCTGAATGCACACTAACACCTTACGCGCTCTATTTTTCTTAAAAAATTGAAATTTCCCTACAACAGTTCTTCCTGTTAAAGTCCTATTGTATTGGCTTTCACCGTTTCAGACCAAAGCAGCTGGTCCAGCAAGAGATTTTTTCGGCCTGTTATTTTTGAATCAGTCGATGCTTACTAGACCGACATTTACGTTAATAAACAAGACGTACAAAACGGAGAGGAATGGTGCTTTGACTACTGAAACATTAAACCTCATAAAACAAGCTTTCACGGACGCATTCACTGTTAAAACTCTATCATAATAAACGCAATCCTTTGGTGAATTTCGCGTAAACTTTGTACATATAACAAATATTCTTAACTTTGTATATGTATATATAAATCACTCGAAAAGGTCGTTCGTAAGAAAAACATTAAGTGTGAATGATATGTTTCTCCAAGCGATCGTTTTTGCTCTACATAAACATAAATATTTGTCTTTGTAGCAATACAAAAGATATTGTTCGTTATATTATATAACGTGTCTGATACAGTTAAATATGCTGCACTGCTTTACGACACAAATCCAAATGTCGGCTTACACAACAGCTGTTTTTTTCTTTTTAAATTAATTAAAAAAAAAACAAATTTTCAAATTTGGTCATAAAGTAATGGGTCAAAGGCCCTTTGATTGTCGGATACGAAACTGGATATTCCAGACTGTCGAACTCAGCTTTCGTCGCCTGGTATTTCCGTCCATTATTCCAGTGAATTATATGTATATTAGGGATGTCAAACTAACTGCATTCGTAGACGACAATACTAACAGTAAACGATACAAGCAGACAACGAAAGCCAGGTTTACTACAGACTATGGAACTTATAAAGAAGATAACTGCTAGCAACAGTGGCGCCTCTTGCGGTGCTTTTATTATTACTGTCACTATATTTGCAGATTTAAACACTGCGGGACTGTACAATATACCGGGTGTTTATTGAACTGCATCAATTTATTCTAACCTGTAGCGTACGCATTTAAATGTTAGTTTCATCCTTGTTCGACGATCAGGTACGCAAGTTGAGTGCTATGAGTGTTCGGGTGGTGAATAGAAATCCGCCGTCTGATCAATATCAAGTCTACTAACTTTGTTTATTAAATAGTTGTGCGATGTGGGTAGTTGCCGGGTGATGGGTTTCCATTTACCAGATCCAACGCATTATAATGGGGTAACCTAAAGTTGCGATACTTCTACGTTGAGTATAATGTTTGCAAATAGGAGTTTTTAAGCCTCAAGTGAATTTAAGAAATGCTCGTTTAAGGAATTGGTTATCCTTTTAATAGGCACCAAAGTATCAGGCTACATATGATGACAAGCGGCGAACGACAATAGATCTGAGGCCTGCGATGGGTTCTGCTAATATAAACAATATTTTTAGAAGATCGAATCTTCAGCTAAAGCTAGCGCAACACCGCGAGGCCCCAGCAACGCAATGACGGTAAGCAAATTTGAAATTGTGTGATCGCTTACATTTGCGTTATGGAAGTTTTTTTGTTCTTTCTATCGCAGCGACTTTCTTTAGCGTACAAAAAGCGAAGCGTTTTGATATATTAGCACGTTTGTTTTCGGAATGAGGGTAATAATGTAAACTATGTTTAGATTATATATTCCTGGAATAAATGAGAACATCTCTCACTAAATAAGAACTCTCACACAGTTGTGGAGGAAGGTGTACATCGGCAGTTCCCACACAAAAGTCGAAAATGACTTAAGAAACGTTGCTAGCCAAAGCGATCAAGAATAAAACGCCTGTTCAGTACCAAATATAAAAAAAAAGAACTAACATGACCGGCATCGACAACCCAAGGGTTATTATCATGAGAGAAGTCATTCTGTTGTTGCCATAGACGCGCGAGAACGTGTCAAAAAATCCGATTTCTGACAAATTACTCGAACCGATTAACTGAATTCAAATCAGCTCTGCGAAATAGAAGAAGAAGAAATCGTGGGACCAAAGCAAATTTAAGGGTAGTTGTGAGCGGTTACCTGTGAAGAAGCATTAGCGTCGCCAGAAACTGCCGGAGGTGGAACTGGCCTCCTGCAATGAAAAACAACGTTCAAATGTTCTTTCTAATCTGGGCATATCGTTGCGTCAGTTTAATAGAAATGATATAGTATATATTTAGTGCGAAAATCAATAAAATATTTAGTACTGAATTGAAAAAGGGATACAATACCAACAACCATAATAATAAGGCCTACACGATTTGTTTGGCCATATATACATACATACATACATCAAAGAATAATCATTGACGCAAAATAGCAGACCTGTGTCTCATTATGAGATGTCACCACATTACAATTACTTATAATCGAAGCTTTGGTTTAAGCCTCTTTTCCCGCTCTGACGTCCATGAAAAGGGCAGAACCTTCGTGGACTCGGATACTGCAGGCCCGATTGAAGCAAGGGTTTGGAGATACTCACGGAGGCTGTGGAGGTGCGCTAGCCACGGCTGAGCCGGGGGCAGCTCCCGGAGCACTAGTGGCAGTCGCTGCTCCTGATGCAGGCGCGGATACATTTGCTGCAAATGGAGGTGCAGTTGCGGGAACGGCCGGACGGGCTGACAGCTGAGTTCCGGGCGGTCTGCAGAACTGGTGCATTTTCTGAACTACCAAATCAGCGATCAGACGTCTGTCCTCGTCTTGAGTCTCGCCTAAGAGCTGCAGCGATGAGTCATTGGCCTTTATTTGTCCAGAGACGTAGATTGGTAGGGTAGAAGGGATGGCCCGTACAAACGTCAAAAGGAGATAAGACATCACATAAAAAAAACGTTACAGGATTGCTTCCAACTGCAAATACATTTCAAAGGAGCTTGAAACATGAAACCCCAGTGGGGAGCGCCTTTCAGATACAATTGCTTCAAGCTACCCTGATTGGAAGCAAAATATCCGACTTGCGGTATATTTGGATATCCGAATGTCGATATCTTTCAAACTATCCAAGGACTTTTATCACGTCTCCTATATATTAAACACTTTTTTTTTCTTTTTTCATATAAACTCTATATATATATATATACTTAAATGCAGACTGAAACATTAACTTCGTTTTACTTTGGAAATTTGTATACAGTATGCAATGCATTGTTGATGGGGTACTCTAATTTCTTGTGTGGACTTTGTAGAACCACCTAATTTAAACGGTGTATACCTAAACTATCTCAAAAATTATTTTAATAATTTTTTTGCGTATGAGCTTAGCTTGACAAAAAGCCGGGTTAATTAAAAAAAATGGAGATTGCGGCACGACAAAGCTGCATCGTCGCTGTTAGGCGGTCAGCGACACCTAATCACTCGCTAACGAAACTATGATGTCTGTGTAGAATAGGGTACTTTTTATGAGAAAAGGTTGAAAGAAAGATTTACTTTAAGCAGATAATTAAAATATAACATAGTAAGAAAACCCGTCTCATCTCAGTTAAGCAGTGAGCCTCTAATGACTTGCAATTATGTTTATTACTTGATTTATGGGTACGAACGCCGTTTGAATGGTGCAGGCCATCGACGTGGATGAGAATCAAGACGATGTTGCGAAAAAATAATGGATAACTTCTATGAAGAACATGAATAATAGCTTTAACAGGCAAAAAATAATAAAAACAATAAACTACTAAGAGATTCTCATTAATTTAGGGTAGCTATTTGCCGCCGGGTGAGGTTGGCCACAAGAAACTATGGTGTCAAGTGTAAATTGACAGGCTAAAAGCAGCCCTTGGTGGCTAAAGCAACTTTTGGCAGGAAGTTCCTTAAGAACTTATACCAACAGGCGTTGTATGCGAAGCAAACACGAACCCAGTAGTTATGTTGGAACGAATATCTACCACTTTCACAACGTGAATTCTCGGGATGCTTAAAACATAAAAAGAGCAAATTTACCTGTGCCATGCCTGCTTGGTTAATTTTATAACATATTGATCTTGTTTTAGCTATTACATTATTGTTAGTAGAGATAAAAGCGGTTAGAAACGTCTCAACTGTAGTGTCTAGAGGGCAGGTCAGCAAACAGCGAAGATTACATGTCGCAAAAAATAAACATCACGGGGAAAACATTCCGGGTAATCCAACCGTATACATTTCTTTTCTTTTATTATTACAGAACTTCGGGAAGCTAGCAAGAACAGTTGTCACAAAGAACTCATATCCGAAGAAAATTGACATTACCTTAGACGTCCAGCAGAAGCGACGAAAAGCATTTTCAACAATACTTGCATCTTTCAGAAAGAAGGATCATCCGGACACACAATAAGCTTATTATACTTTATTCACAATTCGCATACTATTAATCTATTTTCATCGTCACCACTCCTTACCATTTATTAAAACTGGAGTAAGGCCTTTGGGCCTAAGTAAATACGATAAGTATATAAGCAATACGATCTCAGAAGTTTCACCACGCTTTACGAGTTTAATATATCCTCTTTGATGTAGACAGATTAGACCGGACACAACGGAGATACGCTTCGGATAAGAAGCGGCCACCAGTAGGACGTTTCGGGAAGTCGAATGGAATGCACGATGCATTCCGTCATTGAGCAGTGTCGAAAGAGTAGTAACGCAAAGACAGAGACGGCGCTTAATTTTCATGAAGGATAGCCAATAATCTTCAGGTTTTGTTCCACGACTATGTCCTGATTGACTCAATCGGGCGAGCAGGCTAAATGAGCGATTTTTCGGTCTGATTGTGCAGCCGCCGTTAGCACATGCAATCAAATGTATGTTATGCCTTTCACAGTAAAGATTTACATGGGTTCCGACGTTTATCCCATAGAAGATGCTTAAGGTTCGCATGTACATTTTTGTGGTAGTAGGTATATAATATAGTTACATGTGGACAATATTCGTGTTTACTTTTAGTTCGCACTAGAGAAAGTCCATAACAAGTGTTTGATCAAAGTCGTCTGACTAGAATCTGGTCATTGTGGTGTACTACATAAGATGACTTCCTTCTGCAGGTTGTAAGTAAGCAACGCGTCTTAGGTTTTTGGGTCACCCACTAAGAGTTGAGGTTGATACCGACTCAAGATTAGAGGTCGTACAAGGAAGTATTTAGCCAGTGGAGTTAATCGCGCATGACAAAGCTCTTGCGTTTGAAATAATTGCAGCTTGAAAATGCTGGCTTAGGCCTTAGAGTACTATTGTGGTGTTTAGCTGAAAGTGAAGTTAGGCACCCGAATGGATTTATACATAAAGTTCTTTGCAACGGTACGAAGTAATGAGTTGAACTTGTCTGTTATATATATGATCTTTATTACTGGCTTACCTCCGTAATATATTCCCGGCCGTCCTTTCCTTGAATTGCCTCTACCGCACAAATGTCTAGTCCACCGTAAAGTTCCGCCACAGCGTCTACCCATGTTTTATAGCGTTCGTATAAAACCACCTGATAAAGTCGGACGAAATTACAAAACAGGAAAAAAAAAAAAGAGAAATCATTATGTGAAATATCATTTGGTATCGAATAGATTTTTTCAGATAACTATTGTTAATTCGATAATAACTGATCTAAAAACAATAAAAAAAAAATTGATGATCAATAAAAACACTAAGCTTTCAATCGTTCTATCAGTTCCTGTGACTGAGACTTCGGCAAAAGTTTTCACTGACACATTTGAATACTATATTGACATTTAATGTACATACAAATATGAAAAAGTGACAAGTGTCGTAAGAGCTCGTCGGTATAGGCCATCTAATAAGCTGCATAGAGAGCTCCCAAATTTCCTACAGATAATGCACAATGGGTTATCTAAAAAACTACTGCTATATGATACAAACCTGTTCCAACATAGCAGACCCCATATTCGCTTTCCAGTTACCACTGATACTTTTGCGCCTAAAGTAAGGGAAAATACGAATTAATTTCTATGATTTCTTTATATTAAAATATACAAAATTGTACCTTTAGATATCGCGGAGTTAATTATGGCACGTTACACATCACATGGATGTGGTTTCGGCCTATTTATTTTATGTGACTCCAAACAATTGTCAGGCAAATCGTGGCTAGAACACACCAACTTTTTCGTATCATAAACGTTTAAGCCTTTACGTAGTCATCAGTATTCTCAGAATAGAGAACCATTATATATGGCGAATGTATTTAGTATAGTCTAAATACGGCGGGGAGCTTCGCGGAAGTTAATCAATATTTGCACATGATATAAGAGCATTTTCAAAAATGGTCACTAAAATAAGCCGCAGAAGAGGGGAAAAATCAACGCAACAAAATACTGATAGAAAAAAGAGAACACACAATCGTGTAGCAACGCAAGGCATTGTTGGCGCTACGCACGCCTCTACTTCCTAGTATTGTCCTTTGTCACGTACAAACTCCGTCTATGCGACTGCTTTCAGCGTAGCATCGATAGCCCGATAGCAGCAGCTAACATAGAAGGTGTTATTTAGGAATTCTACATGTATGAGTATGGCTACCGCGGACTGAAAACGGTGGCACAAGAGGCGACAAAAAAGGGAAACCGCAAAGAAGGAGCAATCCGAGTTGAACAGAGTTGTCTCTCAGCTGTGCTGCAAATGCCAATGATGCTTTTGGGGCGAGGTTCCAGAGCAGAGTAAAATGATGACCAGCTATGCCTAACGACATATCTGATATGTGGCATCACCACCGCGTTCATCATCATGAGCGTCGCTATTGTCGCATCATGACAATCAACGTCGTTATTTACCGTCGCAACCTCGACTCGTCAACGGAGCTCTTTAATGCAAAAATGAGCGGCGGGAGGATTCGATGAGGGCGACGAAAGGAGGCATACGGACGAAATAGGACTCGCCGAGATGAAGCGGACGACAGACAGTGGAGAAAGAAACGGAACGGACGAAGAGTACCTCGTAAGAAACGTGATCTCGTATTTGCAATGAAAAGAGTTCGCGTTGATATGTGCAGTTAATGATCAGAGTAACTTCTGGCAACGTCCATTCTATTAAGTCTGACATGAAGCATGTACAGCTGAAGTCGAATGAAACTGGGCACGGTTATTCGGAAATGACAAACATCTGTAATTGATTTTATGTTTGAACATTTTACTATTCTTTAAGCATTGTTCTTCGGTCAGCTGTCAAGTCACTTTTCATTCTTGAATCGAAACGATACCATCCAGTACAGCCCAAAAATATATATATTCATTCGATTTACACCCCTTAGAGAGGAAGCTGGTACAGTTTCTTAAACTCGATTTCCGGCTACATCTTAAGCACGATTCGAGTGGTTGAAAGTAGTTTACCCTCGAGTTTTTTTAGTGGAGTGCCATAGCCCAGCGAAATCGTATAATTATAATATACTATTTCGTGATAAACTGGAAGATACTACAGCATTGTTTTATATTTTCAAGATAAATCGCGCGTAATAAGGTTTACGCGTTCAAAATAACAATATCGATCCATTGTGAATCGAGATTTATAAATATGCTGTCTTAAAACAAACCATATGTTAGAGATGAGGTCTCACCGCATTGTATTTCCATTCTGTTATTGCCTGTGTTGATAAACCCTGTTTCCTGTTATTGCATCCTCCTCTTAGGTCCCATGGCTCAGTCTCTTAAGCTAAGCCGCTTGTATCATGGTGGGACAAGCCTAAAAATGTGCTCATGTAGGATCAAAGATGTATATTGTATGACATAATAATTGAAATAAGTACGAACGTGAATTTCGCTAACAGCAAGCCTATTCTGCTACATGCTATTATATAATAAAATGTCAATTTATACATATGTAAAATCAAGTAGACTGTTTGCCTTACCTAGATAGAGCGTGCAAGCTATACCGATGAAAACAGGTATATAAATTAGGTACCAGCAGGCGCTTTTACATATGCCCCCTTAAAAAGATCAATGCACTTAAAAATTCTGCTATCAGGTGATCTTTTACAACGAAAGCTTCAAAACATGTTAGCCACATGACACATGTGAACACAGTGAATCTGAGTTCTGAGAGATCATACGAAGATCGAACTTGCTGCTAGCTAAATGAAAGGCAATAAGCACTATCACAAGGGCAAAACTTACATAAACGCTTTGTAGTTATTGCCGATTTTCTGGATGTGAAGATCGTATTTTGTATCGATGAAAGGCTCGACGGTACAGTATGAATGTGATACTGCTACCACGCTTTGGACGTCCATATAGTCGAATTGATTTTCTACCTAACGTGAACAGATTTTCAAAATAACGCACCAATTAGAAGCTATCAAACATTACGTTGCATTTAGGACTGAAACGTTTATCATCATCGATGGAAACGTAACTTCACATAGATATGCACGTTAAGTTTCTAGGAATAGCAGCTAATGACTAGCAAAAAATCTGTGCTTCGAAAAATTCTGCACTTACCTTGATTTTGCCGATGCCCCCATGAGCATGAGCAATTTTAACCACGCATGGAAATTTGGGCATGCTCATACACTGCAAAGAACAGTAATAATCGAACATACGAAAAATACAGATTAAAACAGTGAAACTTGTCGCCTTTTCCTCTTGAAACATCCTACAAATGCAAGATGTTTTGTTGGCGAGTCCATTTCTTCGCATAATTGTTTGACGTCTTTTTTTAGCAATTTAGCTTCCGAGGTCCTTCATCCTCGTTACTGTACGAAGTTTAGGACTTTGTGCGACGAAGTGATAAATGCGGCCCTGCGGCCTTTCTGAAATTTAGAACATTTTTATGTTCTTTTGCTTGTACCTTTTCATGGTAAAACTACTATTTTAACATACATATTTCAGAGATCTAATGTAGCAGCTTTATAGTAATGATATTAAACGTCAGGGATAGTAAATTTCGGTCGTTTCAAGTGTCAGAGATCATGCGCTTACATGTTCATATGTGATGTCAAAAATCAGTATATTTAATGAAATCATTGTACGAAAAGAAAATAATTAGCCACAATGTTGCAAATGAACAACAAAGTAGTAAAGGTCAAATGGTTTCCCCCAATTTTCTAATAATTCTTAACCGCTCTATGTACCTACATATTTATTTTACTTATTTGTCGCAGAATATTATCTCCATAAAAAATACAGGGGTTGCTTTACTACCAATATAAACGCGATTAGAGCAACATAATGATTTAGTTAAATTTGGGTATGGAAAGTACCTGCAAAGCTTTATTAAGATGATGATAGGTCCAATGCTTTTAGGATTGTACACGTATCGTTTTCTAAATAGGATTATTCAGTTACCCTGTATAGCTAGTTCTTAATCGTTTATTCCACCTTTTGTCATTGTTGTGCTTACTGTTTATGCATTAGGCACCTATTTGCAGGAAGCCTAATTGATTTCACTTTCAGCGTGGAACATTCATCCAGTTTGAGCCCATCAAGCCTATATATGGATTCGATATATTTAGCCATCAGCAGTAGATAATAGTCACACTTATTATCTACAAACAAGATCCGAAATCTTCGTTACAATGATTCGTTCTAACTGTGAGCTGCGTTAACTTAAGGGCCGTCGATATTTGTGTTTTCAGCTTCTCGTCTATGCGTATGCAAATTTGGGCGCGCTTCCTTACATTCTTAGCAGTTGCAGACAACAAATGCACTTCCGGTAACCGTCTTGGTTCGCTTAAAGGTGGCCACCTCGGCCTTTTCGCGCGCTTTAAAAACTTGTGCTGTTGTAAACAAAACCAGCTGACTGCTCCAGTTACTGCTTCGAAGTGCAGTTAGACGGTTAGGAATTGAAGTGTGTGTATGAAAATGGCTACCCCGAATCTGTCGTCCTGTAAGGTACTTTTAAGTTATTACTACTCGCAAGGACGCCGGAAAACCGATAGCCAGTGTTGCATTTACACGAAAACAGAAGATATTGTCGTATTTGTTCAGGGTGATGCAGCATTTCTAGTTTGCATAGAAGCTCAAACTGAAAGACTATCTGAGTTTAATTAATCGGAGTACTCCAGCTGGGCAACAAATAAATATAGCCAATGGTCAAGGTTGGCTCAAATTAGCATATGCTAGAATCTCGTAAAAAATTGATGAGTCTTCATTGGTTCAGTTTTGTCGACAGCAGGACATGCTAAAGAAGGAAGTTATATATTCTCTTAGCGAATGAATCGCTTGTTAAATTAACATAGTTACAATAGATTATTCACGCCAGCTAACGAGCAGAATTGGACAGCTTGAACTTATATAGGCAACATATGATTATTTCGGAAATCAATGTTCTCAATGCACATCTGTCCAACATGAGGATGATTCGTTTTTTTTTATCTACAACCCGGCTTTATTTACCACCATTTCACAAAGAGAAACCTTGTTAAAGGATTTCATTATTAGGGTATTTTACTTTGATTTACGAAGCTCTGTCCAACTCAGCGAAGCTCACTGATAGTTAGATGTAACGAAAATGTGGCAATATATCGTTCATCACTGAGTAATACTTTTTCGCGTATCGTCCCGATTTCTACAACGAATAGTTTATGTTACATTATATTCGGATTCATTGTGGACTATTGCACTGTAGCTTATTTCCAATTAAATACAACAAATGTACGCTTTTAAATTTCACACAGAATATGATCTCAAACGATGATGAATAAGTAGAATTATCTTGAGTAATTTGGTGACCCTTACAGGTTCGAGTATTGTGGCCTAAGTTGAAGAATCGTACCAGGTCTGGTCTCAACCTTGAATCCGACAATCCTTCACCACGACAACGTTTCCAGAAGCCACCTGTGAGTGACGCCGATTTGGCATTGCTTCTTAATGAACAAACTGCTATTTATGATTCCCAAGTAAATGAATCGACTATCATCAAATTGATTGCGAGCGATGGCAGTCTTAAGGTATCTTCAAATACGCTGACGGCTTTTTCAGAACATTTTGCGCGAATGTCTTGTAGTAATATGAAAGAAACCCTAACACGAACGGTGGAGCTCACAAATTTCTCTCTGTCGACACTGGAATCTATGATTGCCTATATGACAACAGGGGCCCTGCCTTCTGATATCGACGGCCTACGACAACTTTCAGAGCTGTCAGGGTACATCCTTCAAGGACCGATGGAGAGCCATATAGCCAACACCCTTGTCAGATACGTAACCCCAGAAAATGCGGTTTATTTAGCCGATTTTGCGGCAACACAACCTACAGGGATTCTATATTCCAAAATCTTAAGGTATTTGGCCTCTTTGTGTTCGGAAGATTGGTTTTATCCCAATGTGCTTGGCCCTGACGGAGTTTGTTTAGCGGTGCTAAAAGATCTTTTGCTGCTCGACGAGCTTTGCGTCACTTCTGAAACTGAAGTGTTGTCAATAATTGATGCTTGGCTACGCACGCACCCGGGTGCAAATTTCTCAGATTTCGCAGATGTTGTACGAACTGCATGGCTGCCTACAGCATACCGACCACCAAACTCCAGTAAGGACCTTGCTTCTGGTGACACTAGTCCTGAACCCTGCGGTAACCGTTGCTGCCGACCGCGGCAACTTTACTTGCAGCATGTGCATTTTGTCGTGCTGGAAACAATTCGAAATCGGAGCGACGTTCTAGCGCCACAGCCTTTTCTGGAACACCTTGCACTGCCACGCTTTTCATCTCGGCCTATATTTTCAAATTTTATTCATGTGCTCTGTTCAGCTGAAGGTCGACCACAGAGAAGTCTAGCAAGATTTGAAATTCCCAGGCCAGATGATGGCGGAATTATTGGCACGAAAACTCCTTATAAGCTTGAATACTTCGGAGAATTCGGTATCTCATCAATGCCCGTTGTATTTCTGATGGTCCCAAGCGGTGTAGCAAGACTACAGCTCAGTCCCGAGATAACGTGCGAGTTTGTTCCTTTGATTAATTTTATTGAAAGACCCGTTACTAAGTTAGTTGATATTTGTTCCTGTCGTCGGGGTCTTCTTGTGTATCTTCAAAAGTGCGAAGTTGATCTCATCATCCTCGTGTCGAAGGTAAATTTTACATTCGTAATGTTTTTAGGACATCGAAAATAATTTCACTCACAGTTGTTAGCGTCTGAGCAATTATCAATGGCCCGCGTCAACGATTTGTCAGCTTGATACACGCATTGTCAGTTTGATACTAAACACATTTTTAGCTTACGCTCAAATCATTCTTTATTATTAAATAGAGAATTGAAATACGCGCCATTTGCAAGTTCCTTTGATAGCATTAACTTTTTGGGTTAACATTTATCCTTTAATGCGTTTACATTAACAATATGTGCGTTGCAATCTAGGAGACTGGTGATGCACAATTGGCCTTAACTCTGGAACCTATAATACGACCTCGCTTCTACTTAAACGACGAGCTGCTGCATGTCGAGTGCCATTATTCTCTCAACACTATTGTAGTTAGCTTGGATAACTTTTCCATCATAAACCAGTTTGAGGCAGGCCTTATGGTTTGCGATTATGAGGTGCTATGTGAGGACCTCAAGGAGCCTGACGAACAAGCATGTCATGATTCAAGCGAAGCACCAACAGAGGCTACGAAACGTTATTCATGCTCCTGTAAAGCTGCTCAAGCCAGAGCTATCAAGGACGCATCGGGTTTTTATTCAAGATGCCACACATCAAAGTTTTATTTGCGATGCGATGATGATCTGAGATTTCACGGAAAGAAAGCAGTATCATTGTTAATTCCTATAAAGGGCACAAAAAAATTGATTTTAGAAGGGGAGGGCCTTAATGTTGTTGTAGGTTTCATTCCTCATCGATTGTTTACTGTAAGTAGCGTTTGCGAATCCCTACCAAAACATTAAGCATATTACATATGTATCAGGCTGTTACAAGTGAATTCGGCGGACTTTGTTGAAACTGAACAACATTTTAGCTGCTCGCTAGAAGTAAAAAAGATTTTATTCGTAAACACTCTATTCACTCAAACATTTGTGAATGAAAACCGGTCAAGCCATCTCCAACAGAAATTAATTCAGAAGGAGAAACATTCCTTAGTCTCGAAAATTAATGCTCTATGATTAAGTTCTCGTTCCTCGAAGGCTACAGCGCCGCGGAAATTCATCGAAGATTGATGGATATATTACGTAAAATAGCTCCAGTGCGTGAGTAGTGCAAATTCAAGAAGGAATATTAGAGCGCTGAAGACTAGCGAGGAGGTGATTGGGCGTCGGAACCCGAAGGACAAGAACGCATTGGCACTTCTTGCGAAAGCAGAGTCTCGAACCTATAACCCAAATTACTGTAACTGTAGTAATTACCCGAATTACTATAACCCAAATACTGAAAATAAGTCTTACATGAATTAACTCCAAACCAGTTGGAACCAGTGTATGGTGTACTCCGCGTCGAATTTGCAGAACTTGAAAAAACAAAAAATCCGCCTATCGCATGCGGTTACCATAGGCAAAGCTTGGTTAAATCTCTACAGCTAGCTAGAAAGAGATAAATTTATCCAATGGCACCGCTTTGGAGAAATATCGAGTTCAGTAGCAGTGTCAAGTAGGTTCGGAGGTTAGGTGATGATTGTACTTGCAGTGGACATCAGAGGCGTCCCCTACTATGAGATACTTGTTGAAATGAAAGCAATAAATGTAGCCCGCTATCTTGAGTTCGTTAAGACACTCATGGGCCGTTGGCAGAGCTATCGAAAGCACACAGTTTTGTTATTTTATAACAATAGCAGACCTCACCGCCACACCTCAGTTACGTCCTGGATGGAGCAAACGAGTATCTAACGTTCGGGTTAACTTGCTAATTTTTTTGCTAGACTTCCTATATTATCTATGCTTTGAATTTTACGTCCGGTATCGCCGTTAGTCATTTCATCGGTCAGGCTTTCCATATCCTGAAAAAGGGCAACTAATGGACAAGCGCATCGCACTATTGATTTACTTCGAGAAGCCATAGATGGAGAAAGTACTTTACGGAATGCGAACAGTAAGTATATATCTGCCAGAACACTAAGACTAAGTATCATTCCAACCCAATTAGTAACCCAAAAGTTATTTAATTTTACCGCCGGCTTTGTGTGTAACAGCCATATATATATATTTTTGCACTATAAATATAAGCCTTTTTCTAGTTTGAATGCATCGATACGTGTCTGTATAGTCAGTTAGTTGCTTTCTTGGCCCTACATTAGTTCAAAAACAGTGATTTTTTTTGCAAAAAAACACAAAAATCATAAATGTATAATATTTGCATATAATATGAAAAATGCGGAGTTCGTTTTCGCTGTATATAGTTAGTCAGTAAGAATAAATGTACCGCCTGCACACTCTATGGTGTCAATTGTGTCAAGTAAATGTACTAATCATTATAATTAGAGCGTGCCCAACCGCACCAATTGCTGTGTTTGTAACACTCCAAATGTTTTGATTAATTAAAATTCGGTTTTTAGTAAATCATCACCGTCGTAATGTCCAGCAGCATGTGGGTATCGAATCAATCAAAGCGTACGTTAAGCCATTTTGTCCTCGCCGTTAAGAAAAAGACGTGTAAGCTTGCAGGATAAGACGCAAACGTGAGAATCGGTTTAAATAAATAATAATGCACGCATCGAAGTAGTTTGCTCTTTATATTTAGATATTTCAACTTTATTCTAATGTTGATTTTAATGACAAGCTTGAACAGTTACAATCACGAATACGATCATTTACCATTTATCATCATTTAAAGTTGCCTAAGCCAGTTTTCAAATCTAAATCGTCGTCAGGAAAACGGGTTTGTCTGGGTAAGCTGCACTCAGTGTCCCTTATAATTGTCGACCAACTAGTCCATAACTACTCTTAATTTGACTATTTCATGTTTGTATTTTGTAACTATCGCATTTTTCCATTCGCATTATCTGTTCGTCCATAAATCTATAATTTTAGATCAGGTATGGCAAAAGCCAGCAAAAAAAAAGTGTTTCGAAGTTGTTTCGCTTATTCTGCTGAAATATAACAATATTGTAGATAACAAAAAGATGCAGGAAAATTTCATATAAAAATCAACTAAATATTTATGAAAATTTTCATAGACGTTTCATGTATTTACAACTAATATATATTCGTAAACAATCAAAAAAGCTTCGCATGGTCCTGAATATTTACTCCCGATAGTTAAATCAGAAAAACGTATTTAGAATAGTCAGCGATAGCTTGAACTTCCACAAACTTAGATAAAGTACGAATAACAATGTGTATTATCTGAATCGAATAATCGTGTACTGTTTACAAAAAGGGATCCACATAGGAATCCAGTTGCTCAATGTAATGCTAAACAAAAAATTCAGGTCATTTTCTATGTTTTTTAGTTGCCGGCAGAAGAAGGGTCCTGTTAAAAGAAAAAAAAATTAGCAAATGGTCTCGAAGTCTTAGTAGCTGTACTTTGCATGAAAGAAGTAAAAGCTTATTTAAACGTAAGTGGTTCATTTTCGGATAATGCGTTCATTGCAAATATGACTCCAATGGCGTTCGTATATGGGCTATTGTCTAGATCTCACAGTAGATAGATTGCATCCATACACTTTGGATTGACGATGAAATCGGTCATGAGACATTCAGTTATTTTCGCGATACAAGATTGCATTTCTCCAAGACTCTTCGGCATGGCCAGAGTTGGTCGCAATATGTTGCTACGCCCCTCTGTTTTGAGTTTTACGTCCGGTATCGCCGTTTGGCATTCTATCAGACGGCTGGCTCCCAACACGAAACAAAGCCTATGTGTCTATACCCAGCTTCGCACCTAGACCACAACATGTCCCTAAGATTAGTAGGCAAATACGTTAACGACTAGTCTATCACGGGGACATGTTACTTTGTCTATAACAGATATGCACGACTTCCGGACTCGAAGGGGTAACTGTGGTCCCCGCAGGCTTTTGTCTTCCTTTGCAGCATACTCGAGAAAACAACTTCTAACGACGGATAATCTGTCTATTGAATGAGGTCGTTGTTTGAAAAACCTTTTCCCTATCCACTCGTCTTAAATACATGGCCGTCATCGCGTGCCTATATAAAAAGCTTACCATACTGCATAATTGACTTGCACAAATTGACAAAACGTAATCTTTTCAATACGATGGAAATATGATGGTGGGTTGGTCAATGCCCATCGTTACACTCGAGCTGTTGGCAATGTTGATGAAGCACACCTTAATTTATAAAAATTTAGTACTAGTTTTATTTACCGCACTACTGACTGGTTAACTTCCAACATCAGAGACAAGTAAAGCTCTTGCTTTCTAAATGCCATTATCTGATACTTTAAAGTAACCTAAATATTTCAAATTCTATGTCCTGTACTACCGATAACAGTTGCACCTCATATCCTGCTAATGCTTTTGCAGCCTCGGCAGCAGCGCTAACCTATACCTGGCTTAAAAACGACGTCAAGCAATTTTAAGCATACCGTACAGTCCATACAAGGGAGCGTATCGAAAAGTTATCAGCAGGTTATCGATGCTTTATTGCTACAGTAAGGGTAGCTCACTAGTTTTAGGAGCTTTGCAGTCGACGTCTTTCATGACTCCAGTGCAGAAGGCAATCCTGACTGACATGCGCACATGTGGTCAGACCATGAAGCGACCATTTATCCGAAAAAGATAAGATGATGATGATGAGCTTGCGTCTATGAGCGAGCTCGCTGAAGTCATGTGCTAATTCACAGATATAGATTAGCATATTCGTATATAAACTGTATTCAAAAAGTTACGCAAGATCCGCGGACTAATATAATGTAATTAATGATCTGAAGAAAGCTTAACTGAAGAAGAAAATCATGTCTTTGAACAGCAGAACTTGCAACAGTTTAGTATAACCGAATCATACTTGAGGAAATATACGTATTTAAATTTCAAATATGTGTTTCAAAATATACGTATATATAGCTTTCAGATAGTGCAGCGTTTTCTATCGTCGCTTGTGTTTTCAGATTCAAGTATTAGAAATCCAATGATGTGTTCCATTGAGCGCTTTGAATCATAGCTGTAGGTCGAAAATTCTATGACGAAATCACGAGCTTCCAAGGTGACATATTATGTAAGATGGGTTCGATTTATTTTATGATCCGTGAAATATACAAAAGTAGAAATGTTGGTTTATACAGAGGTCGAAGGATTCAACTAAACGGCGGGATCTTGGCTCCATCAAAACATTGCCATTGACCGACTGCCGATCTCCTGAAACAGATGTCTCACATTAAGCTAAACGTTTAATACGAAGCTCGGCTTAAGCTAACATCTGTGAGAAATGCTATTCAGATTTCCAGTTTATTAGGTAAAGCTGGATGAAAGAAAAAGACGTAAAAGGGGCCAACAAGAATTGCTTGCTAATTGAAATTCGCTTTCTGAAATGGACACCTACTGTACAGATCCTTGTAAAAGAGACCTTATAAGTATAATCATATTATACCTTTTGTATTCAGGAGCTCAATCAAGACTGGCTTTTTCACCCTTGGGGAAAATCGTGCATTGTCTGGCTTCCAGTTCAATTGCTCGATAGTATGTAAGTTTCTTCTATATCTCACACTTCAGCAGCCACGAAATTCTTGTAGGCCGGCAGTTTTTGCCTTAAACGCTTAATATCAACATTAACACTGGTGAGCTCGTTGAGACGTTGTGGTGGTTTTAAATCTAGGTCTTTTGCGTTGACTAGAATCAGCGATGAGCGGCGATTACACAGGTTAATGTCGGGTTCGGGAACCTCGACAGTTTGTGCTTTCGGCTGTATATACCGGTACACCCCTGTGACGGGATACTCTGCGGCATTCACGGGGGCCATTGGTGGGGGTCGACAGGCTTCGACAGGCAAAGTTAAAGGCGGGATCTTAGGCGTCGGTGGCGGTTGAGCTGCGAGTTCTGCCGCCTCGCGAATCACTTCGTGAGCATTACGGCCAGAGTCAGGAGTTGCCGGTGCTAGAATATCAAACCTTTTTACTGCTGATAATGAATCTGGGAGTGTAAGAGTCAGCGGTTTGCATTCAGCCTCTTCTAGCCTTTCCGGGGGCTTGGACGGAGTTGCTCCGTAAGTCGAGCCGCCGTAGAGGGCTTGAACTATCGGATCTGTAAGGTCCGACGGCTCAATCTGGTTTCGGACAGAGTTCATTCGAAGGGGACCCGTACGCACGTAGGTCATTTCTTCCTGGGGAAGAGCGACTCCGCGATCAAACCTAAACGGTTGATACTGTTTCTCGATGCTCTCCTTGGGAATCTTCTTTCGGAAACGCTCCTCCAAACATTCACGAATCTTTGTGAAATCAGGCACCAAAAGTTTTTTTAGCGTTTCCGTGGTCATACTATCGACGTATGGCGATGCTTTCACATGAGCTAGAACTGCGTCTGGTGGGGCTCCTGCGACCATACGGGCAAGCTCCTCGTTGCGGAGCGATTGTCGAATATCCATGAGGTCGGCCAAGCTAATCGTTTTGCCCATCTTTTCTGGCTTTTGAGCATTCTCTTCTGCTTTACGCAAACGAGCCTCCTCAGCAAAGATATGCCGCGACTCAACACCTGCCGCGGCTACCTGGATAGTACCGAGCAGCGAGTTGGCTCCGGAGTGTAGATCCATACGGTTTTGCCGTTTACGCGCCCACTCACGGCCGCCCAGTTGAGTGCTCCATGGCAAGCCCTTCCCTGTAAAAGCGCCCTTAAGCATCTTTGTCAGCGATATGGGTAATTTAGGCTCTTTGGGGATGAAAATGTCTCGCTCGAACTCATCGTCGATGCTACCGCGCTTCTCGTCACCTCGTCCGAGACCTATTACTTGTGTACGCGGGTCGATATCAGGCATCCTATTTCGTACTCCTTCTTCGCCATCTGTGTACTGCGAGTAGAGATAACTTTCTTCAGTCGGCCGAATTGGTTGCGGAATGCCCTCAGTGGCAAGCTTGAGCTTGCGTCCGTGCACCGGAAACTGGATATCTTGCCGAGATGGCGTTATATCGATAACTATCGGCTTCGCTGGCTCTTCAAGGTAAAACGGATCAGTTTCTGCGTTAACCGGTTTAGTTTCTGATTTTAGCGTACGGCCGTGGACTGGACTAGAGATGAATTGAAGGACTTTAGCTGATTTCTCAGTTCCAATAGCGACGGGCTCAGCACTTCTACCTCTACTGGTACTTTCAGGACATCGAAGAATAGATGAACTTGATCCTAGTGTTTGTGTGTTAGGATTCTTGACATCTAAAGCGGTACCATCCGTAGTGTCGATCACAGTTGTCTGGTACGGGGAGTCAACGGGTACAGTGCCTTCTATGTAGCTAGAAGAACGGTGCCGCCTAAACGAACCCGTCAGACCCATCAGGGCGTGCGAGCCTCGCCGAATAAGTCGTTTAGTGAATGTTTCTCCTTGTTGTTCTGAACCTGGAGTTAGTGCGTTTGGATCATCGACTGTCAAGAAGTTTTTGTTTGTAGATGACGCACGCTCAGGAGTCGCAGGCCGCATTGTCGGTAGACGTGCCAGTTGCTCTGGATCGATCTTCATAAACTGTGGCTTCATCCTTTTCTTTGTACGAATTGGGATTAGCCTTGATAAAAGATTTTTTTCGCCACCGCCGTCCGACAAGTCACCACAAGACACGGATATCTTTGGTGCATTCAAAAAATCATTTTGTTTAGAATCTTTCTTTTTACGTTGTGCTTTGACGACTTTAGCTGGGGGCTCTGGGACCTGGTATTTATTGACTTTATTTGCCTTACTGTATATCGCGTGTTGTGTAGGCTGTTCGGTAGCTATGGTCTCGCTTACCATCAACGCATCAAAGCGATCTTGTATGTTATTTAACTCAAGGATACCTTGGCCAGCGTTCGGTGAAACGTTAGGACAGCCTTGCTGTTGGTAATCCTTCACTATTTTTTCTGTAAGCGGACCACTACCTGTATATATCATTTTACCAGTTTCCTTGTCTAAAAACATCCCTTGAGGTCCCATGCCTGCGAAATTAGTTGCCTGTCCTATTGCCTCCTCAGTTACTGGAGGTTTGTTTCGGTCGACTGCTCCGGGTCTGAGGGAAAGGGATTCGTGCTTACCTGGTTCATGTCCTGAGGATCCTGGAGGTGGCGCAATTGTATGCACCACTTTGCCAGTTTTAGAGTCTATGTAGGCTCCTTGAGGGCCCATGCCCACTGGATATAAAGAAGGTCTTATTGAGCCTTTATTTTTTACTAACCCTTGAGACTCCTGCGAACCGTACTCAGTTTTAAGCATTTCTCCCTCCATAGCTGCCAGTTCATTTCCCTGAACGAGACCGTCAAACTCTGGCCCTGGCAGAAGTATGTCCGGCATATATACACTATCCGGTTTTGCCTCACCGGTCAGTCCATATTGTTCTTGTCCATACGCAGTGGTGCCAGCCTTTCCGCTTCGGTCTCTTTGGCCAAGTTGCCTTTCATTAGGGCCGGCAAATGGTAACCCCATACCAGGAGCGTACACACCAGTAACTCCCATTTTTTCATTAACCGCTGTATCAGGAAACAAGCTCATTCTCTCATCTTGAGCATCTTTTATTACAGAAAAAGAATTTACTTTTGAAGAGGATGTTGCAGGTTTTGAAACAGATGCATCCAGTTTTCCGAAGCTACGTGCGACCACATCGATTTTTGTTTCCTGGGCCAGACTGTTTTCTGTAGATTTAGCAATTTCTATTGCTAAAGAATCGGCCATGTCTGGTTGCACTTTACCTTGCTGACTTTTAATAGTGACAGATTGCTCTTTTTGTCCTAGGGCGGTTGAGTCAAAGGCCGGTTGAGCAGGCACATCGGTTTCATAAAACGAATTAGATCTAGTACTGGGAATAGTTTTTCCATTTTTTTGAGGCTCAACGTCTGACGCATTATAGAATATGTCATCCTCTTCATGTACGTCACGTTTTCTGCGGCGAGGGGTCATGGACTTACCAGTATCTTCATTTAGTTGTTTAGCAACATTATCTACAGAGGTTTGCACTGGAGATAGACTTTCAGAAAGCGAAGGTGATGATGTCTTAGGTGCCCACGGCAGATCAGAGACGGCGTCCTGGAATTGTAAGCCCGGATCCGTTGTGCACATTCTAAGTGTGTCCTTATTAGGTTGCTCTGAACCTGTAGACATAAGGGACTCTTCCCAGGATTTTGGTCCTTGTGGTACTGTATCCGTTGCAGAATTCGGGCATACCAGAACATCTTGACGTATTATAGAATCGTGCATCGGGAGTGGCTGCATATTTGTGGATTCTACTAATCTATCGGCTTGAGACGGTAAAGTAGGCCTACCAGAAGGTGCTGTCGATATTTGTTCGAGAGCACTATGATCTAACGATATTCCCATAGATGGCTTCATTTCTACAAGATGGCCTTTCTGCCAACGGTCTGGGGAGACCAAGGTTGCTGTAGCACTCTCCACTGGTGGAAAAATAGGAACTTTTCCATGAGCGCTTTTCATCGGTAGAGGTGGTGGCGTTTCTTGAGCAAGGCGTTCTTTGGACTTGGTCCTACGGGGCGCTTGTGGAATCATTAGATGATCAGATTTCACTCGTTTTGGTGGTAATGGGGGTACATTTAATGATGAAGCGTTCAAGTTACTTGTACTTTTGGTGCGCTTAGGTGGTTTCGGAGCAGTCATTGTCATGAACGAAGGCTGCGAACGACGTCGCTGGCTACCAAACCGGCAGAAAGAATCGAAATCTTCATTAGTTGATGAATTAGGAATGTCCGAGCTACTGTCAAAGATACGATCGCGTGTACGCCTACGTCTGGGAGCTGGTCTCTTGTATCGAGTTTCGTAATCCATGCTCATCTCGGAATCAGTCGTATACTCTATCTTCATACGAGGCTGAGTTAAAAACGATGGCAGAGGTGACCGTCCTCGGTCGGATATACCCAACTCACTAGACACACCTGACATGGCCGATTTCGATCTCCCGGATTCATGTGTGCCGTTATCTTTGTCACTTGAAATTTGTCTACTCGGCATCACCAAGCTGTTCCTCTTTTTAGAGTCAAAATCACGGATCTCTCCGCTGATGTCTTCAAATTTGTCTTGGATTTTTTGTATGAGATCACTAAAGAATCCCTTCGATTGACCGTCACTTGACTCTTGTTTTTTGAAGAGTCCTTCGCTGTGACAACTGAGGTCCATAGATCTTCGGATTCCGCGAATGATTCCTCCAAAAAATTTATCCTGTTCTTCTTCCTTTTCTTCAACAGGCTCGTAAACCTCATCCGATTGGGTCAAAGCCAGGTCTCCAGAATTAATGGCATTTAAGACTCCGTCCAGATAGACGCCCGTTATAATTTGACCTTCTTTATGATTGATTCTTCCGTTCGATCTATCATCAATCTTTTCTATCGACTCTTTTAACTCCTGCGACATGCTTGTGGCTTGTTTCTTGCCTTGCGATACGCTGCGTGCCAGATTTCTCTGTTCAAGTTTTTGTCTGAGGACATCGCGAAGATTGGAAAGCTCTTCAAACTTTGAGATCGATGGCTTTCGATCGATGGGTTCCGCAGGTTGTTCTAGCTCTTCCCGAGGTGTTCTTGTGAGAATCCTATTGATAGCATCAAGTGTCTCATCAAAATGTCTATCGAGGTGCGGATCTTCGTGATATGAGGACGCTTCATCATCGCTGCTCAGCGCTTTCCTTGCCCATTCATTCAGATCGTCATAGGTCGGCTTTACAAGACCAAATTTATCTTGCGACATAATTTTGAGGTCGCCGACACCGCCCACACCGCTTCCAGTAGCGCTGCTTCGTCCTCGCCTTTGTGGGGCCTGCGGCTTCTTTTCGTTCCCGCTTGTATCGACGATTTCATAGCCACTTTCCACAGAACTACTTCTGATCACTTCGATTTTCGGCTTTTCAATTGCAGTAACATGACTTGCAGCGCTTGTCGTTTCAGCTGCGTCGGAATAGTAGATTTTATCTCGTTTAACAGAGCTTGGGCTTTCGGTGCTAGCTTTGTAGGTGTTTTCTACATCTTGAATCGATCGTGGTTTACTTTCGGCTGGCTTTTGAGCTAGAGCAGATTTATGGATCACCTTTGGTGAAATTTTTGGCTCTACTGATTCAACGTAATCTTGTTTTTTTCTTGCTTGTTCGTCACTAGACTGTTTTGTCCAAGATTTTGAGCTATCATCATCCTGAGCATCTAGAGGCACTTTATCCGTACTCTTCTTCCCCGTCGATTCAATATCCTGTGCCAGATTTTCAGTGTTTCCGCCTAGGTCCACGTTGGCATTAGTTTCGTTGAAATCTTTTGTATTTTTTTGATCCTCTTCTATATTCGTATCTTGTAATATTTTCTGCAACAATTCTTGATTGTGTCGTGCCTTTTGTCGATGCCTCTCGTCCATTCCGGAGCTTGAACTTCGTCTACTTGAGCTTTTTGAACTCTGTATTGGTGTCTCCTCGATTTCGGCTACTTTAGTGCCCGGCTTGAAGGTCACTGTGAACATGGAAGATATTTCTTCATCAGAATACACGACTTCTTCATCGGAATAGGATGATCTATTGTCCGATCGTGCAACGGACATATTCAAAGCAGACACTTCACCGCATATATTTGTAGATTCGACTGTACCTGATCCTTTCGCAGTGAATTGTTCGCTACCAGACTGTTCTGCCTTCGCTTGTCCAGTGCCTCTAACGGAATCGCGTCTCAGCTTCACGACGATGCTTTCATAGTCTTTGTCCTCAGACGGCTTTGCCGCGAGTCCTTCCTCCGGCTTGGAGGTGACAACTGTTGCTTCCGTACTGACAGAATCAATCTCTTGTGAGACATCTAAGTGCCGTTTTGCGCCAATAGTTACAGGGCTAGCTGCGTTTTCCGCTGTAGGTTCAACGTCTTTGATGTGAGCACTTACCTGGCCTATTTGGCCATTGGAATCTCCCACAGTTTCCGGATGCTTGGTGTCAATAACCGGATAGAGCTTTTCGTAATAGCCTTGCGGAATTCGCTGAGCGCTCGCGGAGCGCGACCTTCTTTGAGGGGCTGTGGGCGGTTCCGAGGAAAGATAGTTCATCTGTTGAAAGGTAAACTTCTGGTCGACAGCAATCTGATCAAGGTGATTAATACAACGACTAATCGATCTTGTTCTTTTGGGAGGTTCAGGAGGTAAATCGCTTAAACGGTTATTTTGAAATAGGGTCGTATCAGCCAACTTGCCCAGCGTATGAGTTCCAGCTTCTTTGCAATCCGAGTGCTCGGAAGTTATGGTCTTGATATTCAGCGAATCGGTCGCAGCAGACTGTGTACTTAGAACACTTTGTCGGCTTCGCGCCCTTCGAGGAAACGGCTTAAGGAAGTACCCGCTCTGACTCCACTCATTAGGGTTCTCCATGGATTGGGTCCTTGTTATTTGACCTTTGTACTTGTTGTACGAATCCAAAAAATTATCTGTGGACCATTGTAGCCCTCGAAAACTTCCTTTACGCGTAGGAGTAGGTTGACTTGAAGACGCGTCAGGCAACTCCATAGTTTCATAGCTAGGAACTTTTCTTAGCGACCGTTCCTCAAGATTACCAGGGGGTACCTCAGTACTTTCGGAGCTTAGCGGAAATTGATGGAAGTTTGCACGCCAGTCTCGAAGTCGTTTCTGACTACCTTCAAGCAATGAAGCTTGCCCATCAACCTCTCTGAGGAAACGATCCTTAGACGTTTCTCGAAATAGTGTTTTATCCAGGCGAGCGTCTGGAGGGCCAGTTTTTCTCCTCCGTTTTTCATTTTTTCTAGGGAAAGTAGCCATTTTCGCTCCTACACTGAGGGGCTCTTCGCCATAGGAGTCACTATCGAGCACTCGGGCACTGAACGCCGACGTCATTGTCGAAGCCGGAGCCTTTATAAACTTTTGCTTTTGCAATGCACGTTCTTCGCATGTTTGAACATCACGTCCTTTGCTCCGGACAGGGGGATCACGGCGACTCCTTCTCTCAATTGATTCATAGGTAGAATGCTGTTCTACAAAAAGTTTTCTAACTGGAAATCGGCCAAAAGCTTCTCCGTAATTGGGATTCCTGTCTTTCCCACCATATCGTTCAGATTCGTACATTTTTTCTCCTGTTTGTAAGTTCAATTCAGCTCTCCACGCTTTTATTGGTGTTTTAGGCCGATCAGCTAGGTCTTCAAGAGTTGTGCCAACTCGTATATGAGAGTCTTCAAAAGGAATAATTCTCTGTTGTTTAGCCTTCTCTTCGAGTTCGGAAACGTCGAGCTCTTCAAAGAAGCCCCTGCTGGCACAAACTCCCTCATCCCGCGATGGTGACTGAGACCTTTCTTTCTCTGCTCCAACGGGCACAAAAAGCATTTCACTATCCGCGGTCGACGCGTCGGATTTCTGCGTCTGTAACCGCACCTTCGGAACCTCGAGTACAATGTCCTCTCCTGTGGGCGTCAGGGCGTGTGTTTTACATTGGCCATCAAGCGATCTTCTTGGTTCAATGTGGTCACTCAACTCATCGTAAAACGATTTCCTGCGGTTCGCATGAATGGGCATATCATTTTTTGTAGCTTCCACCAAGTCGATTACTTCACGTGATCTTCGAAGATCAAACAAGTCCGCTTTCGGTGCAAGGGTCCGATTGTTAGTAACAAAACCTGGCACTTTAGAATAGCTCCCTACTGGTCTCTCTGAAGTGTCAAAGTTTTGCCTGATATTAGCCTCTGGCGAGGAGCTAAAGGGCCGTTGTTGCTGAAGCATTTCTGTATAGAAGTCTTCAGGAATCCTTCCTGCAGCACGATCTGCTATATCTTCAGCATCGTTAATTGATACAAATTCGTCCTCTTCTCCACTATCATCAAAACACAGATCGAAGTGACGCTCAAATTCATCAAGAATTCTTTGATCCTCAGAGCTCTGTTTTTTTATTTTTCGAACACGGCCGTATGTTGAAATCTCTTCCATCGTTTCAGCGTCAAGAAACGTTTTTTGGGGTGTATATGACTCTAAAAGGCTTTCCAGTTTTTCTATAGTCGAGTCGCGTTTTACGTCAGCGTACTTTGCTTGATATCTCAGTGCCTCGGTTTCAGGACTAGGCGTCCGCTCATCCTCTAATTCTGCAGCAGTAAACCCCATTATGCTCGTCTGCTCAAATGACATTCGTCGAGTGGTAGTGGTTCGCAACTGGGTAAAACCGGAGCCAGGACTGGGAGAGAATTCCATTTCAGTTTCTTCTAAGACAAATCTTTCCTGCAATATTGGATCTTCATCGTCACGGAAATCTGGGAAATTAATGTCCTCTCCTTGCATTGCATCGGTATTCGTTACGGTTGTACGAGCATCATCCAGAGTAGCTGCTATTTGTCTTATGATATCGTCCGTCTCGCGAGACACACGTTCAAAGTGATCGCTGTGGTAGTCTTCAACACTGAATTCTAAAGGTTCATTTAGTCCTCGTTCAAGCTCTGAAGGGACCGGTGAACGACTCATGTCGGACTGATTGTCATACGATTCCGGGGTCCTGCCTCGACTGTCCATCAGGTACGCGTCATCAAGGTATTTGCCACCAGAACCGCTAGGCATTGTCGGCTCCGTATATCCATGACTAAAATCAGGCAACTGCATCTCGAACGGCACATCATTAGGATCGATTTCAACCTGTGGTGGATTCACACCCATGTCACTTTCACTAAATCCAAATTCTCTTTTTTTTCGTTCTTGAGCCCTTGTCTTGCTGAGCTCGCGTTGCCGTTTGCGATCAGGCGGTGGTCTACGGGGTTGCGGATTCGAATACGAGTCAAGATAGCCTCCGGACGAGTAACGCCCATCATCACTTTTAGTGGTGACAACGCTGGGATTATTGAAAGAATCACCTTTTTTTGGCCTAAACTTGGACCGGCCATCACTAGGAACGCCTTCTTCCTCATAGTCGGCATAACTACTCATTGCTTCTAGCCTTGCTCTCAACATGGTCATTTCGTCCACGACTTCAGTAGGCTGATGAGTAACTTCATCTTCAGTTTTACACTCCATTGAATCGACCTCCGGGACGACCGCGTCGTCCTGGAAAAGACCCGGTTTTGTAGTCTCAGCATCGCTGTACAATGAGTTAGACCTGCTTTCTGTGTCGCACTCGAGCGAATGGAAACTCTCGGCTCCAGGGCTATCCTCTTTCCCAGACATAATGTAGAGTGCAAGCTGTTCTTTGCGTATTCTTTTGGTAGGCTGTTACACACGAAATTGGTACATCAGTCCATTTTTTTTGTAATCATTGAGGCACGATATCGGTATAAATTCATGCGGATTCACGATAGCTACACTGTGAGGATTCACGAGTCTGCTACTTAACCGTCTTGCTGGCCTTTGCTGTGGCGTTGGGCCATCAGGCCCGGCCGGCCTAAGCAGATAGACCCTTCTCTGGCGCGCTGCAGTTTTCGCGTCGCGATAAGAGTCAACAGTCGCAGTTCTTCACAGGACGGACTGCCCGATGGTGCTGCGCTGGTAGTTGGCACCCGATCTAGACTCGCCCTCGACCAAAATAGAGCGCAAGAGACATGCGGCACAGGCAGCACGCCATTACACATTAGAACGACAACGACGGTGACTGGCTTGACCACTGGGCCATAACTCGGGAACGAAGAGTCGTACAAGCTAGCGAATACGACCTCAACATAATGCATTCGCACAGACCTAAAAGCACAACTTTGGCCAGGACGCTACTACACTCAAAGCAACAGAGGCACGAAAACCGGTCTTTTACCAGAGCCTCCAGCAGCTGGCACTGCTTATTTGCTCGCGCCAACAGGCGCGATAAGCAGACCTAGCAAAGTCTAAGAGGTTACTGTAGCCCAGCTTTACAGCTACGCATTACGGAAGATAATGGAAAGCCGATTGGTGTTCAGCATAGATATCGCTTCACAGCGTTATAATACAACTGTATTTTTAGCAACGTATACTACTTTAATTTGGCTCGTTATACTTAGAGGATATGATCATAGCCATCATTTACCGAAGCTGCTTTTGTTCTTATGAACTTTCGGATACGAAAAGTAGAGGAAGCAAAAACTTGGAAAAATGTATTTCTCAGCTGAGCGTGATGGACGAGTCATCTTTGTGTCAGTGGTGGTCCAGCAACCGTAGAAGAATTAGGTAACTAAACAACCGAGTTAGTGCCATAGAAGTGAACTACGCGAGAATCATTTTCCTCACTATTTATGTAATGTTTACTTACACCGCTATAGATAGTACCTTTGCTACGTGTTTTTTCTAGCCTGTGGGCTGACTGATCATCACTTCCAGGCTTAACCGAAACAATAAAATCCTGTTCTAGGTGTATATAATAACAGTTCCGAAGCGCCCAAGGTAATTGCGTTCGCCTAAAATCTAGATTGATTCCTTTTGTGTTCCATTTTACGAACCAACAGCGTTTTCTGCATAATAATAGTAACTGTAAGTATAGTAAAACCAAATTATATTTTTCGATATCAACATATGGGTCCCTTAAGAACACTGACGTTATTGATTCACAGGTCTATTGATTTTTATATTATTTAGGATTCATCTATCGGGCTTTATTTAAATATCCGGATTTGGGCTATACTTCGATTGAATTGTCTAGTCTTTTTATTAACCAGATTATAAGGGTTAGTATTTGGTTATTTGACCGAAGTCAGTGTGGAAATATCAAGTGTTACACATAGGTAGCCACTGTGGTAAGAACAGCGGGCGTTAAATCTTGTTGACTTTAGTACTGATTCCCCGTTCGCCAACGCAAAGTTCCAACTGCAACTTCGCATGCATAGGCTTGCAGTTGCTGTTTCGTGGGTATTGACAAAAATAATCCACATGATTACTAAGTAGAAAAAGAATATTAGATATGAAAATTGTGTCTAAAAAAAAGATCTAACGAAATTAGGATCACCGGCTCTTTGTGTTTCTATGTCATCTAAGTAAAAGTCGATAGCTCGATTAATGTATCGAAACTGAGAACCGTGTTCGGTAAAACATTTCTTACTCACCATGTCCAGGTAAGTAGGAAAGAATGTTTGTTCCATCAAAGGGAACTGCTCCTTTCCCATACGTCGTTGTAAACTCAATAGTTGGGCAAACTGAAATAGCATTACCGTAAATATCGATAAGTTAATTAGATTCAATTGAATTATGACTAGTTATATTGTAAAATCTCTATTCTATCCTAGGACATAAGGTATCCTCTGAGACGAAGTTAACTATAAATAACATGTATTTAAGTTTTTTTGCTTATACAGGACATACTAGATGATTGTTTCTACTAACCACGTGAACTTGAATATATTCAATTTTTATTTTAAATAATTAGCACCGAGGCTTCACCTAAGCTATGTAGTACCGCACGAAAAGTTTTTTTCAGCCAAAAAAAGATCTACGTCACTTTTTAGCATGTTAGAAGGTTAAGAGGTCTAGGTCTACATCATACTTGGACCTAAGCTCGTCTGCACGAAAACAACATTTTTAACTTAAATTCTGCAAGGTTTACCTTGAAAAAAAAAATATATATATATATACATATATATTTGCGTTTAGGCCTTTAGGAGCTGACCGTATGATTCTCACTGTTGTCTAAAATGTCAGTCTCTTCTACGAAAAAAGTAACAAAAGTAGGGGCAAAAATATTCAATATTTGCGAGACAAGCAATATGCTATATAATTTTGTCGATATTACAAATTGTACGAGCCCTCTTGTTAATACTACTCCTAAAAAAAACGTTATCTGTACGGCAAGTATTTTTTTTAAAAATATTCGAGTAGCAATTGGACTACCCCATGAAAGTGAATGTACGATACTTGACGACTGTGTTCTGGTTAAGGTAGGTAAGATGGTATGACACAAATGCGCTCGATCGTAGGCCCTCATAACGAGTGTATCATCGTACCAGATGAATTTCCATAAAGCTATATAATATATAAAATAACAGACATAACCCGAATTCGTGTTGGAAGTTTTGTTGAATCAGTTAATTGTAGCAATGCTGCATTGTACAAATAACGGAAGAAACGAGACGCGAGTATTTTATATGGCTGCAACTTGGCATACGTATCGGTCGGTTACGACCATTCTTATTAATAATAAATATACTTATTAATTACGGCTGCTGTCTAGCAGATGATGTTCTGTAGGAACTCTCGTAACCGTCACCTTCTAACATTCATTTCTACCTTGGACGGGCGTGGCACGTTGGTCAAGCAAAAAATATACCAGTACTACTCTGCTAGGTTACCTTCGACAGAAATCAAGAATAGTAAGTACACAAATGGTGTTAACTTTGACGTCTCACACCTACTATCCATCTAAGTTACACATAAAGCTCAAGTATGTTGCACTTAGCTGTGATGTCGTTGAAGGGCTCATTAGATATACAAAATATCAGTAAAACTAAAGTGGACCTTTTGGTTGACCTCAAACTAGAATTTTCGGTGTCAGATGTTTCTTTATTAGATTAACTAACCAAAGAAAATATTTGATATCAGTTAAGAAGAAAGAAACTTCCAACACGACCCATAGTTTTGGTATTACTTTGAAGCGGAAAAGGAAAAGCTAAAAATTCGTAGCTTCTTAATGTTATTTTGACCCAACAGAAAAAATAAATCATATGTAGTACTTAAGTATAGAAACATCTATATTATACGAGGTCACGAAGAGCATAAATATGTGTCAGCTCGAAACAACAAGTTTTTAATCGGCAATAATTAATGATTTTTTTACCTGCATTTTCATGAGTTTACCAAACGAACACATATTACGTAAATTATATATATATATATATATATATATATATATATATATACCGAGTAAAGGCGCGTACAACATTCACGGCTGTTATTTTTTGATTTTCAGATAATTCCAAAGTGAACTTTAGCGTGCTGAGTTGTTGCCAGACAAACATATTGGCCTAGCTACATCGAATGGAATATTGAACGGCGTAAATCACAGGTACTATAGTTGAACTTCAGGCAGCTCAACTTTGAGTGAAATAGCGCAATTTACTTCTTAACAATATGAATCTTGGTCAGAGAGATGACACCAGGCCCAGCTCGACAAGATGAAAGCTGCTTCACTACACACTTGCCCGACCTGCACTGCATCTACCAACCGCAAAAGTTGTTATGTACCCACTGTCCTAACGACCTCTAAGCTTTGCCTTTGTTTTAGTTCAATTTTATCGGAAATTATCTGTTTTTATCATATATTTTGTACCATATTATGCTACTTTGCTCAAGTTGGCACAGGTCAATTTGACCGGTATTGATCTGTCTGCGAAACTGAAACATTTTGGCCAATACCTAAGTGGCCTAGTACATATCATCTCGATAAGGTCTCTATAATTCGTTTTCTTTATATAAACATTGAGCTTCCGTTCATGTATCACTCAAACTAAGAATACGATTTCGCCCCCAATATGCGGTCCCACAGACTTTGCGTTCCTTCAAACGACTCTAAAGTGGCTTACTCTTGAATCTTAAGTTAGCAGTTGCGTAACGGCCAAGAACTTTGGAAAGCTAACGATCCTCTCTCAAACGCTTGTATGGCAACACCAACATATAATAATTGGAAAAAAGTCACTTACCACCCAAGGCTTGTCCTGGAAATTATAGAGAGAGTGTATCGAATTGATTGCGGGCACCCCACTATAGCGAAAACCCAGAAGTAACGGTCGGTAATCGTGGTGGGCGTCGCGCACATGTTGTCTCACCAACAGGAAATCGGGCCGAAACGTTTTAGATACCTAAATAGAGCGAATTAGTCTTAATAATAACAGCCAATCGAAATAATTTGATGTCCAGTAATATTTATAATACTGACTGAGTGAATGAATCTTACTGTTGTTCGATGGTGGGGTTTAGGAAGAATATAAGCAAGGTTCGATATTAATAGTAGATGTTTTCTGAGACGGAAGTAGCCTGACTTCCATTTCATATACCTGCTTAAGGTTTCTACAGGGCCGTGGCCTAGCTTCGTATCGGTCGTTGCTGTTACCCGACGCTAAGAACCGCTTTAACTTTTCGTTTGAGCTCGGCATTAAGTAACACTCCGTAATACGCTTATTTTATTACATGTATTTCAGTAAAATCTCTCTACTTTTTATTTACTCTATTAAATGTTTGTTAAAAAAAAAACACAGTTAATAGCTCAAGCAAGAGAATGTTCTTCTTCAAAACTAGACGTTACGGTATGTAAAATAGCAAGTCTTCGATCCTGACCTGATTGTTCGAAAATTTAATCACTAATCAGCTCTTCTATTTTTCTGGTTTTTGTGAACGTAGTTTGCCTCGGCAGAGGAAATCTGATCAGAACGCTTAAGCATCGATAACAGATGTTTTAATAGTTTAGTAATGAGTTATACGTACTAGATTCGAGTCCTTACGAGTGAATATTACTCAGCGAAAATTAGTCGAACACTCCTCTGCATGAATATTATAGTACGTCGGTAAAAATTCAATTACAGATTAAACTTGCAGATATGCAGCGATCGAGTATTCGTGGGACGCTTTTCGTACGATATTTGTCTTAGCCATTTCTTATTGCGTCAACATTGAGTCTTCCCTCGTACCTTATTTCCTTGTCGAAACGAATTCATCGACACGGCTGTTCCAAGTTCGCTGTTCGAGCAAAGGGAAAGTTCCTTGAATTCGGCCTGCTCCACTCGGATGTCCCAGTCCCCATGCACCTTCCGTCCACGGAAATAGCGAGACCTGGAAAAGGCAACACAATTGGTCGAACTTCGAGGATTCCACTCAGTTATAGCTTCCGTACCTCGATCCGCACTGCGGTCGAGAATCGTCCGAATAGCGATATCCTCAAAATGAAATCCACACTAACGAAAATGCGGATCAATTTACGACAGAGTGTTCAGGGAAATTCTGCCGACAACTAAGATAAGTATATTTTCTACATGTGTCTGGAAGGAAATACGCAAGTTAGCATAAGGTTCGAAATAGTCCACTCAACATCTGAAGTAAATGCTGTGAAATTCTCAAGAGGCGTTTGCCCCCGACTGTGTATATAAAAGTAGACCATTTCATAGATCATCATATAGATAATTGTATCCCACATAACAATATAATGATTGTTGTATCTCGACACAACGTACAGAAAGGCACGTCTCATAATTGATAACAGGCACAACTCGATTTTCTCGAAGTGGTTGGAAACCACAGATGCGAAGAGGCCAGCAACGTCATGTTTGGTCAACATCATGATGAGATTCGGTGCCAGGAAGCGTCGCGTTCTTTCTATTCGAGTGCGTTCTTCACTCGATCGCTGCAACTGAGAAAAGCTAATGGGCTTTGGCGTACATTCGAAATGAAGAAAATGGGTTACTCGGGTCGGCATGTATCGCTGTGACCACTCGAGAAAAATGCGTTGTTCAAAGCTCACTCGCTTTCGTCTATTTTAGGTGCGGCTTACAAATAAACGACAACCGAAATTACCCTTACGTATTATTGCCCATTCTGTGCCATCGTTATTTTTTTGGGTAATTAACTCATTCATCTGTACTGTGTTTGCTTAGACAACAGCACTATTCCAGTAGCTGAACGGAGCCAAATTGTCATCAACCTTGTTTGTTTAGTAGGCCCGGCATAGGGGCAAGATTGCAGAACTATAATTCATCATTTTTAATCACAATCTTTGTACGCTGTCGACTTCATAATACTGTTCGAGGCTGGCTGTCTGTCTGTCTGGCTGGAGAAAAGAGTGCTAAAATACCTACGGGCGTTTTCGGCAGGGATTGGGCTGAGCAAGAAGAAACGATGTATAATAGTAATTGCGGTGCTTTGTGCTCGTCCGTTAAACGAAACAGCAAATTTCGAACGACGATAGGAAATATGAAGGAGTGATTATCTTTTGGAGCTTCTTTCGATTGTATGGAATACAACCACCTGTCATATTACGGGTGGTTCTCATCGTTTCAATTCGTTCAACTAATTTAACGTAACAGTCGATTTGAAAGCCTTCGACATCTAACATACTTTTTTTTTTTCAAAAACACAACAAGTTATTCGTTTTTGTGTGCCCGATAAATCTCGAGTTCTTTTCTACTACTTCGGCGCGTGATCCTTTGGATTTCTTTACCCTGTCTCATTCTATACGGACTCATCACGTCGACGCCTCCAGGCTAATAGTACTGCTATCGCTAGTAGTGTATAATTGTCTTTACCGAGGATCAAACAGGATTTCTGGCCGTGTTTGTACCGTACGCCGGCACCAATTTAAAGACTTTCTACTGATCTCAGGCGTCAACATCAGATCTACTTGGGTCGCTTCATTCTTACGTGCATACATGCGGATACACGGATGCACACATGCACTAGATCGGCACAAATGGCTCTTTCTAGTAAACACCACAAATCACGCTTTGCAGGAACGGTAAGCTTGTGGCATCGACGTCCGATGCCAAGATCACAATAGGTTTTAAAACCTCTTAAAACCCAAGAAGCCTAAGCTATTTCTGATGGTGCCATTGTTGTGGTTGCTGCCGGCCTCGCGATTCTTTCTTTCTCTGTTGATGCTGTAGAACAATCTTGATGGTATATTTTTCCACTGTATCGCAATAAGCCGTAGTAGTATAATATAGGCTAGGTACAAGAAGAACCCGAGCAGTAAAATAAATTTTCACATCGGCAAACGGCAGCAGTAGCACTATCAATAGTGGCAAAATGCAACCAGCGTATCTCGTACTACCGTGGCGACTGCTTGGTCTGATGGCACGGGCTGGCGCGCCACGTCCTTGGGAAAATGCTACAACAAAAAAATCGTCGACGAGCAGCGATGCCACCCGATAACCACAGAGAATGCCCGTGCCGATTTCCTGGCCAACTGCACAACCAAGTAACGGCCAAACGATTGCTACCAGCGTCAATGTGCAGTGATAACTTGGGTTTGTCAGCCCGGGCACTTCGATTCGACTAACCTACGGCTTCCCCCTTTAGCTTTTTCCTTTTGGCTCTCGAGTCCTGTATATTTCGTATGTCACAAAGAGAGAATAACAAGCGTTTTCCTAATGATGCTACGAGGCGCAGTACCGGCAGCGGTATTCATTACAATAATTATCCGCCGAAGCTACAAACAACAACCCTGTTATGTACGTACTATACATACGACAGTGTAATGAAAAGGCTGTATGGGATGATGCTTAGTTCGACAGGTGTCCATCTTCTCCGACCGTACGGCTAGTGAGGGAGGGCGCCTTTATGACGCCTGCTAGAAAACAATGCATTGTGCAGACTATCATGTGATTATTTTATGTCTGTGTGCGCATCCAAGCGTTAAAGAAAGGCAGAGCAGAGTGTACTGGTATAAGAAGAGCCTGACATACGGATAAGGATAGTAACTGAGCTTCTATCAGTTTTTAGCAATGATTGATTGCTGATGAAGTCATTACGACTTTAAGGCAAAATCGATGGCCTCTGTGTTTCGAGCTTTAGTAACAGGTGTACCTCTCTCCCTCATATATTGCATGTACAATGCATAGGCTTAAATAACATAAGGGAAATGTTTTCCTACACTGCACAGGTCGAAACAGTGGCCACGTTGTCGCCTTCAAGACTTCACTTGGTTCAATGACTAAGTCTATTTACAGATAGACTACTATTTAAGAATAATGATATTTAATAAATGCTCCTGATAAAAAGTTCTAAATTAAACTTTAAACATATTGTGGTAAAGACTTTAAAATTCTTGAAACTGCCGAATACAACCATGCGCGGGCTCGATTGATATGGTTGATTTTTCATTCCTAGATTGAGCTAATCACATCGTTATCAGTTTTATGTACCAGTCTTCGTAAATCCTTTTCTGAAGTAGCTTTTCTTCGGTATTTCACAGACTCTGATGTTCTGAAAAGGCTCAAAACGTGATATGCGTCCGTGTCAAGGTTCGAGTCACAGCCTTATAGTCTACCTGCATGTTTAAAGGTACTGAGACCGAGATAGCATCTACCGCGGGTTGGTGCGTTTGGTGTAAACCATCACGCCATGACGCTCAGCTATTCGATGTACTCTTCACCTGTATAGGAATCCATATATCCGACTATATATAAACTATAGCCTATAGGATGACATTTATGCCTTTATATATAAAATATATAGAACTTATACTTTTTCAATATGTAGTAGTACATATATTATCTGAAATGGGAATCGAGATCTACGACAGTAAGACATAAGAAATAGAAGCGATGCTAGACTAGGACAGTACCGAAAATTTACCGCAGTCTTTGTTATTATATGGTATCATTTAATTTTTCTTATATACTTGTTATTTATTCAACCGCATTTTCTTCTAGGAGGAACCTATTTTTCTACATTAGAAGTCTGTTTTCTTGCACTGTAGACTGGCGCCCCTCCCCATTGTAATAGCCTATATTAAATCGCACACAATATCGAAGGTCATATCGCTAATGCCAGATCTCGTATCGTGGGTACCTGTATAGTCGGCAGTCTCTCATGGCCTGTTCGCCAAAAGGTTTTTGCAACATTAGCGCTACTTAATTTTGCTTTCCATGCAGAATGCTACTTACACCCTTTTTCTACTCTATTTTCGTTGATTAGAAGGACAAAACGCGGCCAAGGACCAGTTACTTTAAAGTTCTTGCCATAGAACAAACACGTAATTGCTTTTAATTTTGCGTATGTACTCTATATACATACATACACATGTATATATATATATATATATATATAGCGGAGCGTTAAAATTGCGGAAGACTTTGGCGGGCTGTTTGTTAAGATGGGCACGAACTTATCTAGATAAGTTCGATAGATATTTAGATAAGCAGGTACTAGATAAAAGACAGTTCTTTCTACAAAAAAATAACAAACTTGTTTAGGGAACAACAGTTTATAGCTTCCAGATTTTTGGCTAGGATCAGCCAGCCTTTTTGTCCTGGGCAGGCCCCTACCGAGATTAAAAGTTACCTTTTTTGCTCGAAATGAACTGTTTGTACTGACTATAATATTAGCAGTTATTGGCTTCCGAAAAATCCGACGAGGACTCCCAGGAGAAAAACAGAAAATCCTCAGTAGATTTTAGAAATAAAAAACTTGAAAATTCGTCGAAATATCTTGAAAAGCCCCTTTTAATGCACCTAGGTTTTCGATACAGAAACTGATGGCCGTTTTGGAGATGGGCACATCAATTGTCGATTAAGTCGTCCAGATGAACTCCGACAGTTAGTCTTTTTTAGTATTTCTCAGATTATTTGACCCTTGCATTTCTGGAGCTTTTAGCCCCTTATCAACCTTAAATTTCATTCGCCAGAATTTTTTATATGAAGCATGACGAGCGGTTAATTGTCTACTAAAGAACAATTATAGTGGTTGTGGTCCCGAAGCGAACCTGTAATCTTGATAAATTATGACTGATCAGCGATGACATTCATGACACATGTAAAAAATATCGTAAAGTAGCTCTTCTTTTTGTTTAGGCATCATCTTACAAGAAATATTGATATAGACATGCTAGTCTGTCTATTCTACACACACACACATATATATATATAGGGAGAGAGAGAGAGAGGGAGGGGGAGAGGTGAGAAAGGGGGAGAGAGGGAGGGAGGGAGGGGTAACAATTAAGCTAGACAATTTGTAATCGATCTGCATTGAAAAATTTCGCTTACCAGTCGGTGGGCTGATCATCAATGACAAGCAAAGTGAGGTGTCTGTCCTTATTATATCCTGCTCCTTTGAGGGTTCCAGTCAAGGATACTCCCCGAGATAGAAATGACGTCACGCTTCGCGCTGGGGAGGCGGGAGCGGATATGGCAGATGAGCTCCGCAGCGAATTAAGCAGATCTGCGAATAGAAAAGTAGAATATAGGCTTCAATTCGGGCAGCATTTTATATGGATATGGTAATTGTACGTTGTCACAATGTTGCTACCAAGATCCGAACTCTACGTGGCTAATCTGGTTATTCATGTACGATAAGCTAGACTGTTTTATTTCTAATTGAAACTGTAATAAATAATAAGGCCTGTTAAATTCTAAATTTGCGGAGCAATCGGCCAATACAAATGTTTATAGTACGTATATATTACGTGCTACTATATAATAATATAAAAAGTATTCATGTAGAGAAGGTGGAATGGACTTCAGTACCAACTACCAATCAAATACTGATCTAATTTTTCCTTGGAGTAAAAAGTATTTGATTCTTCTAGAGCAAGTATGAGCGGCTTGCAGTAACTGCAACTTACAGTGAATGTTACGTTAAGTTCCGTTAAGATCATTGTTACAAACGTTACAGCGACTATTTGTCTACCAGCTACCGATGGGAGCTTTGCACCGCTAAATTTTTGCAACCATTCCAAATAAAAAATAACGTGTTATTTTATCTATTTTTATATTGGAAACCTATAAATATCTTACAAATACTTTAATCGAACAAGCGGCAAGGGTTGTCCTGCAGTCAAGACTAAAATAAAATGAGACGATGTTCTTAGTCCTTGGTTGTCTCCAAGGTTTAAAGAGAGCTCTTATTTTGGCTTGTTGACAGGTGTCAGGAGAATTTGGAGAAATTCAGGACCCACATCGACATGGGATTCGATAGTAGTTCTCACATGGGCCATACCACGGAACAGCGACTAGTTTTGTCGGGCTCTGAAGTGGCATACAGGATAGTGGCATACAGGATAGCACGTGTTTTCGTTGTACTTGAGCGATGTTGTTATAATCTATATTGTCACTATTAATTTTTATTCATTATAGACCAAGAATCTACTACGTTTCGTGCATTTACGCTTCATAGTGGTGCTTTATATATGCACAATGATCGCCTTTTGTACCTATCACTTTCGGTATATATATACATATATGCAGGAAACGTTTGTAGATCGTGATGCATGTAAAGCGTGCTACTGAGCACGACAGAGGGCGGTTAAATGCGTCACTGGCGGTAAAGCACATAGGGGCATCAACAGGATTAAATGGGCTGGAGCTAAAATCTGCTTCCTACCAAAGTTACATTAACGAACTGCAAAAAGCCGTATTAACTTTCCTGTATTTCAAAATTTAATGCTATATTTTCAATATTCAGTTTTGATTTGAAGGCTTGAAGCTATACTTGGTCTTTGTCGCTTTAGTCAAACAGATGGCACACATGTATATACATAGTACGCTCCTGTTATGGTAAGTAAAACCTTTCGTACAACAGAGGTAAATTGAGTATCCTGACATTCTACGTTCCCCTTCTGTGTAATAGAAAAGTCTGTTGTGCTCACATTAGTACTACTCTATGATACTGAAATGTCATTTCTGCGAATTAGTACATGTCCATAGAGAATAACCATCAAAAGCAAATCGTCGTACAGGCACTGCGTATCTTCTCAAACTCATAACTTATATCAGCTATCCTAAAAAGATTAGAAGACTTTCTTTACTCAAGTTTCCGAAAGTTTTTCTGCGGGAAACGCCTCATCTATTCGTCGACTAAGGATGGTATAACATATATCGGCAGGGTTTAAAAAAGTCTGTTTTAATCTAACAATTATGGCCGGTAAATCGGGTCGCGTCATAAAAATCAGGCCGAGGCTTAACTCGTTATAACGTACAAGAATGTTTCACATGGGATCTACGCATCGATAACAAACGACAGGCATATGTAAGCTCCACCGTATACTGGAGTTCTTTCTGGCGTGATGAGTCCTTTGACACTACGGCATTTTCAAAGTACGGGAGCGTGCTACTGTTTACCATAAGCGGGCAAGATATCATCTCGCTTCGGCCTGTGCCTACCTATCGTCCCGAAAAAACACTTCTGATGTCCCTCGAGAAGCTCTTCAGGTGAGGCTGACTTGTGCAGCTTATAACCCAGCCGTCTCGTAGTTGTGTTCTAAACTCGCGCTACTTGTTCCGAGCTGATCCCACATCCGTCTTTGCCGTTGTAACTAGGGGGTCGCCTGACCGATGGAGAAAACACTTGCAGTATAACGGATACATAGATTGAAGAGTGGCTGTTGGATGTGACCTTGAAAGACTTTCTCGCGTTTACTATTTCTCGCTATGCTATTGGCATACGCATGGAACAGGTGCTTTGATTCTCGAGGTGGTTTTTATAGATCCGAAGCCCACACTATTCAAATCTACTAGCTATCAAAATCTGCGTATTTCTTATTGTAAACCATTAAATTTTTTGTCGGCGCTGAAGACCTTCCGGCTGATACCCCGGCACGGCCGATAATGCTCTTAGCACGATAGGGATGAACTTTAAATAAAACCACGATTGAATGTCTATTGCATGTGTTATCGGTAGAAGTATTTTACCATTTTATCGCTGAAGGCCTTTGCTGACTTGGCTGAACGGCAATGTAATTTTAAAGAAGCAAGCTTCCATCGTGACAGCAGCGTCACATGTCTACTCGTAGCTTTCTAATTACATAAAGCTGGATCCAAGTAGACTTACAGTTGGAAGGAACTTACGTCTACAGTCAATATGAAAGGAATCGTTCCGACTTAGAGTAAACTGCGCCAACTTCTGTTCCGTACTTTATAGTTGCTTGTACATGAGGGTTACTGACATGAGCATTGAAGCTTGTAGGTACATTCATTCGGAGTTAGAAGCTGGAGGTTCCTTGATTTAAGCATGTTTGGCTCCTGATAGCAGATATTAGATAAATGTGATTTCGAATAAAGTTATGGGACCAGATGCTAGCCTGAAGATGAGGGAATATGAGGGAAGTACGAGAATAAGCTACTTTAATAGGCTCTACTATCAGCCTTAACCTAGTATAAGTGTCATGAGTTCACAGACTATGGCAAAGTAGGAATTATGACTCCTAATAGAGATTAACTAGAATATTCGGATAGGTTTTACAGGCTTATTTGGATACGAAATCGTCATTACTTGTCGAAGCAAGTAAATAAATAGGTCATCCTAATCCTATAAATCTTCAAGCGAATCAGAAGAGTGGAAAAATTGTAGTCCGAGCTAGCAGTTGTCGATATTTCTAGTCAGTTTTCGGATGTTTCAAATTTGACTTCAACCTGGGCCATAAACAACTTTCTTTTTTTCCATTAACGCACGTTGCCTTCGGCAGCCTTTCTGAATCATCACTCTATCATGCCTGTTTGATTAGCTGCTACTACCGTGCATTGATCATTTTGTACGTCTCGCAACAAAACGAACTATATGATTATGTCATAGGTATATCAACATCATGTATTTTTTCCTGTAGACAGTTCCTCATCATATATATGGCAACGCATGCTCGTTTTCGTGCTGCGTCATAGCTGATCGACGTTATTCATAGCCGTGGTTCGTAGAACGATGTTCCGGCGAAAAATAGGCCACTATCGCCTGTCTCCTAAACTACCATGAAGATTAGATGAGAACAAGAATACGTCGAGTTATACATGAAGGAACCACAATGGCGTCAACAAAAAAAAGGTTAATTCCAAACCAGAGCGAAAATAGAAGAGAATAGGTTCGAAAAAAAGTAAAGAGTTAAAATAGATCTAAAAGGTGGAAACGGACAAATGTCGAAGAACTCTTCCTTGAAGCTACCCCACGCTCCGTCCACCACTAGCGGCTCTTCTATAGTAATCAAGTTACCCGAAGTGACGATGCCCCCTTGATGTTCAGGAGCGTCCTTTGATTCGAATTTTTCTAAAAACCGTTTCGCCTGGACAGGCTTGTCTCTTTCTCGTTAAGGCTCGGAGGGTCGAACTTGCCACGGTTTCTCGATGACTTCCAGAAGGGAATTGGGAACTGCACGTAGAAGTATTTTAGATACCACGCCACAAGGAGGGAATGTATCGTGGTTGGTGGCAGACAGAAGCCTCAACTTGGAATAGGCTGTCGAGACGTACATCAAGATGAGCGCAGGGGCCAATTGCACGTAGGACTACCAGAACCTGTCCCGCTGTATTGTGACTTTTAGCTGGATTCGGAGACATTTCATCGATCGTGCTGACCGTCTCCTCTTCAGTGCTCTGATCGTTTTTCTGGGCTGCGTTATGGGAAGAAAAACGACTCCTATCGCAAAATGAGTTACCGACGTCAACAAAAGATGTTAACATTTTTTTCTGCCGTCGGCACCGTAACTTTTGACTGTTGATGCTCTCTTGTTTTAAGGCCTCGACTCTGTTTCCTCCTCTGCAGACGCTGGTAGTCCATCTGCAGCCATTGCACTCGTTCAAGGCATTAAAATATTGCAATCAAATGCCCAACACTGTTCATTTTAGTAGACGCTAAAGATTTGCCATACCGCTGACAATTCGCTGGCGGTATACGTAGGAGACTTACTGGACCGCTACCGCCTAAGCCGCTTGAACCATTATTTACTACATCATGTCAAGGAAGGCATCAGAAAAGCCAGATACTGCTTGTTGCATAAAATATGATCAACGTTAGTAAATTCGACGTTTCAATGTGTTTATGAGGTTTCATCAGAGTAGCAGTATTCTTGGCTTTTTGCTTATACAGTTTCAGCGATGCTTCGGGGCTGAGTAATACCAGCTGATCTAGAAAAGCTAAGGTAAAACGTGTGTATGCAGTGGTTCGATTCTCCTTTAATCTACAGCATCACGGAACCGCGCTTTCCGCCCCCCAAAAAATACTCACATACGTCTTCTGTGCGTGCAATGGATCACAACAGCAACCAGTGTTTATTTCAAAAAATTCGTACGGAGTAGTGTCAGTTGGGTTCTCATCATGGTAGTGTCGACTTATATTTACTTGCAGCGTAATCAAGTTCATGAGCAGAAACTAGGAAGATCAGGCTGAGTATTCATATAGATAATTAATAGGAGATCGCTCAAATTCGTGGAACTACAAGGTGTGATCCGTTCTAAACT